CACGCTAGCGCGCTGTTTTCCAACATATACAATAGTGTGGGAATTTGGGAAAAGGAACAGAACTCCTTTTCTTCCCCATTGTTGATAATTAAAGCTCCATACAGCTCAACTTTATTGACAACCTGTGAATTGAGGAGAACTGGGGTTGGAACCTACACCAACCCCTTACAATATATGTATGCATGGACCTTAACCATTAGGGTAATTTGTATAGTGTCAACTACAGCTGAGTTAATAATGTCGGCATTAGAGTTATGTTTAGAAAAGACAGACTATGTAGTGTGAGCTTAGTCAGACTCAGACAAGAGTTCTTGTTGGAGGGTAGCGCATATAGTGCCTTTAGGCACTAGTGGGACCTCTTCCAAAGGTTTGGGCTGACCGAATTACTCAGTTAGGCCATGTGACTTGTTCCCTTAAAAGTCATGCTTCTCTTTCTGATTTTGGCTATTTCGAACTTATCCGTGATGGCCACATACTATATTCAATCATCTGAGTTAATTTCTTTTTCCCCCAGTTCTCACACAAGACTGAGGTCAGTTACTTGCTCTTTATTTCTACATCTTGTTACTCATTATATATTTAGATTATCCAACAATTATTCCATTAGTTCTGAGGGGAAGGTCTGCTGTAAATGCGATGATCCAAATATGGCAACCCACTTCAGCAGCTCACTTGCAGTCCAGAATGTAATTTTCTCGATAATTTATGGGTTGATTCAGTCCCAAATTATAAGGTAGGGAGCATACATAAGTGATCACTATCCCGGCAAGGTCCAGTGTGGCTGTACGCAGCAAACATTTGTGGCCCAACTGATCAACGTGAAGCATATACAACCTGCTTTCTTACTATCATGAGTTCCCATATCATTTCCTGCATTGCCTCTGCTGGGATTTGGCGATGTCCCTGATATTTTTTCACTGCCCATGCTGCTTCTTGCCCATCAAGACCCCTTCAATATGTGTCCATATAGCAGAGTGAGCGGTTTGCAAACCTGTGAATAATCAGCAATTTTAATCCTGAAATTCCACTGAGTACATACCTCCAGATTGAGAGTTCAGACACTGAGTCCAAAGCATTTTTGGCATTAATCTCCACATCTCCAATCTTTGATGATGGGGGAGATTCACAATAAACCTGCTTTGCATATCCCCAGACTTGTTCGATAAAATTCAGTTTGCAGTGGAACTTAGGGAGAAAAAGCACATCAGAACCAGCTGCTTCACAATGGGTTTCAAGAAGGGTTTTACTGTTGATGAAATCATTGGAGTGAAAAAGAATATTGCGGCAGCAGCATTGGCTTGCACTGGCTCAGCACTTGAATTTCTTGCATTGGGCATGCAAGTGAGTTGTGTCATAGCCCTGCTCAGTAAGAATCTGGGCCATGCCTTTGAAATACCCAGGATACTGTGGGTGGTCATCAGGGTAATAAAGTTGCTGTGATTGAACATTGTATCAGCCATGTGCTTGGTAGTCATGCAGGGCTTTCCATCTGGACCATAAATGAATGAGCCACTATTGTCGTGCAAGGCAACAGGAACTCCCCATGGCTTGGAATTTCTTGGGATTTTTGCAGCTGATAATGCATCATCAGCATGCTCAGAATGAGTCCAAGCATTGTCAAAGACAAAAACATGTTTGTCATTCAGGTAGCATGCCTTTAATATCTCCATGGCCTGTGATGCTTGCTGAATCACATCATCATTAATGAAATATCCATCTTTGTTCTTCCCCAGCTTCAGAGTAACACATGCATCACACCCATCACCTCTCAGCCAACCATAATCTGCAGAGATGAAGTCAGCAACCATAAGTGAAACACCTTCACCCTTTGGATGCAGCTTTGCTGACTCAGAACTGTGAACCCAGCGCAGTTTCCAGCAATCATGAGCATAGAATATAGACTCATCATGGTACCAGACAATAGTGTGGCGTTCCAGTGAGTTGTCAGATATTCCTTGTTCACCTTGACTATTCCACTTCCTCATGGAATTGTCATACTCTGCCATAGCAGGGAGGAAGACTCTCTGGTGGTACTTGTCATATCCATACATACTCGATCCTGATCCGACTCCCGGACCCCCATCTTCACCACCTCCGGAGTCCTACCCTACCGCCGTCTGTTCCGATACTCACCTTCAGACCTGACACCACACCTCCTCTCACCCCTCATGCCACCTCCACCCTTCTGTCCTTCTCCTGCCCTATCTCCGTCCACTCGGATACTCACCTCGGACCGAACACCACTCCTCTTGCCACCCTCCTCCTACTCCTCCTCTCACTCCTCCTCTTACTCCTCACAACACCTCCACCCTTCCATCACTCTCCTACCCTTCTCCCATCTGTTCCAATACTCACCTTTGGACCTGACACCTTTCCTCTCCTCCACTCCTCTCCCCTTTCCTCTCTCCTCTCTCTTCCCTCTGACCCTCTTCTGCCAACCCTCCAGCAAGTTACGACCTTCTGCCGCTGTCCCATACCTTGTACTTGGACACCGCTCGTACCTTCGCTCCAAGATTCCATCATAGTTCCTACCTTGGACTTTGACTCCACCTCGGCTTTAGTCCATTGCATTGGTGACCTCATACTACGTAAACACCATTGCCAATATTCCTCGGACTTCCAACCCTGCCTCTGTAACCTCCATAACCTCCAAGCTCCACGGATCATCTTCAGCACTTTCACCACTTGTACAGTGCCCCAAAAAACCATTGCAATGTTTTGCACTTTTGACTTCAAGAGCTTATTAAACAATGGGAAAAGGTTCTAAAATTCCAAATAAATATGTTAAACATGTGTTAGTATCCTGTCCATAACTCCACCAATTATGTAAGCAATATGTTCGTTTTTGGTAAAGTTATCCAATTCACAAGGGACCCATGTCATTGCAACAGTTTTTTGGTGTGCTGCCAGAATGGACTAAAATTGGAAATATCATGTGATAGGTCATATGATATTGTTTACTATACACACTAGTAAACAAATAAACATTGCTGGAGCATAAATACACATGGATTTCAAGCTGTAATCCCCAATTCTAAAATGCATCAATTGGCTGCTTTGAAAATTGAACAAGTGCTTTTTCTCATTGATTCTGGCCACAGTGCTTATCAATTACTGCTGTCCACCATTCCACTGTTACCCATATTTGGTCTAAACATTGTCCTGATACTCCTAAGCCCAGTGGTGGTTGCCCATCTAAGCTCTCAGACACCAATATCTGTCATGCAATGCATCTTATCAACTCTGGTAAAGCCAACAATGCTGCACAAGTCACCTGAATTCTTCAAAAAGTCACCAGCACCAGCCTCTCAACTGAGGCTGTTCGTCTGTGACTAAAGGAGGCTGGTTGGAAAGCAGTGGTGAAGAAGAAGCAGCCCATGCTCCTCAGCAGATGTCATAAGGAGAGAATGGACTTCACAATCAGCCACAAAGAGTGGACTCTGGAGGATTGGAAGAGAGTGGTGTGGTCTGATGAAATAAAGGTGAATTGCCTGGGCTCAGATGGGTGGAAATGGGTGTGGAAATGGGTGGATGAACCTCTTACAGACAGGCTGGTGCAAGGAACAAGAAAGTTTCATGGTGGTTTTGTCATGGTTTGGGGATGTATTACATTGGATGGAGTTGGAATGGCATGCAATATTGATGGGAAGATGGATTCCAAGCTCTACTTCCAAATCCTGGAAGAGGACTTCCAGCAAACCCTCTCATATTATGACAAACACCCAGCCCATATCCTTTCTGAACAGGACAACAACCCAAAACACACCAGCAAAAGGGCCCAGAACTGGTTCAATAACCATGGTATCAGGGTCATGGAGTGGCCCTCCCAGTCCCCAGACCTTAATCCAATTGAACATTTATGGAACCATGTAAAGAGGAAGCTTGGGGAGTATGAAGAACCTCCAAGTAGTGTTCATGAGCTGTGGGATTGGTTTCAGGAGGAGTGGGAGAGGATAGAACCAAGTGTCTGCCAGAATTTAATTGAGAGTATGCCTAGGAGGATTGAGGCAGTACTTAGGGAAAAAGGTGGCCATACTAAATACTAGTTAATGTGATTTTCCTTTCTCCAAAATGTACACCAAAAAACTGTTGCAATGACATGGGTCCTTTGTAAAGTAAATAACTTTACCAAAAATGGACATATTTATTAGAGAATTGGTGGAATTATTAATAAGCTACTAGCGCATTATTTTCATATTTTTATGCAATTTTAGGATCCCTTCCCAGGGTGAAATAAGCTCATAAAGTGAAAAGTGCAAAACATTGCAACGGTTTTTTGGGGCACTGTAATGTATCTTTCACGTTTTCCCCTCATCCCTATTTGGACTGCTGCTTCTTCCCATTCTAGCCAGTTAGTCATCATCCCCACTTCGCCTCATCCTCCTGCCCCTCTGGGCTTCACCCTCCCTATCTCCTTTCAGATGTACCACAGATTCTGCCCTATGACCTTCAGTACCGCTCCGCTTCTGTCATCCCTTTGTTCCCATTCGGACGCCTTCGTTCCGATTCAGACCCCCTTTGTTTCCCTTGTGCTTTCTCCCTCCCCATTATATACCAGCGCTTGTACATACTCATTTTAGGCCCTTAGTCTAAAATCGACCTGAAATGCCCCCTAGAGACTTCCTGCTCGCCACCTCTGAAATTAAGGACCAAATGGACAAACAGCAATGGCACAGCACCCCACTTGAGTTGCTGAGGCCAAGGTCCCTCCTTGCTAAGTCTCTGGTTCCCCTCCAGAATCGTCCACCCTTGCCCAGTTCTAACAGTACTGGACAACATCTTCCCGCTCATGCCCATCTGAATATTGACCCTTCTTCTCCTGTTGCCATTGGTAACCCATTGTTTGAAGCCAATGCCATGCCATGTGAACTGAAATTGGCTTATCACAATTGAGCCGGACACGCATTTCTGGAGTGCTCAAGAAATGGACTATGTCCATAGCTGAGATGTATGGGCTGATACTGTGCAGGTGAGCCTCAATCTCACTCCTAAGGTCCTCATCAGTTGTCAGAACTGACTCCTTCCACCATCCATATGGATTGACTGGAATCATTTTGTAATCCCACATAAACACCCAACACCACCTTCACAGCCATGAAGCATATGATGAGCCACAATTCCATGATCTCGCAACCCACAATGATGCTGTGATCCATCCCATTTCCCCACTCGGATCCAAGCATGCTGAGCTGAATGTCCGGGATACTTGGAGCATCTGCTCCAGTTGCATCTGCGTAAAAATCATCAAATTTCAAATGCTTATGGCCAGCACCTGTGGCTTGAGGTGGCCTTATGAGTGCATCAAGTTTCTCTGCTGCCTCAATCACTTGAGCTTTGGTTGGTGCAGCAACATGGGGACACGAATGGAACTGGACCCACGCAAATAGTTCCTCCCCCCCACTTGTGCATTGGCCACTGGTTGGAGGAGTTACCAGGTTTGATATGCCAGCTGAGGGTGGTGTGGGTGGTGGATTATAAGTGGATGGGGACACAGGCCCAGGTTCAGGTGTGAGTGCAGGTGTGTGTGTTTGCATTGTCAGAATTTGCAGTGTTGTCTGACTCTCAGTGTCTGTAAGGAAGGGGTGGTAATTACATTATTCCTTTATTATTCCTTGTTGTACTTTTGTATTTACACATGTATGGTGTGGAGTTGGGTAAAGGGTTCTTTACTCTTCTCCACACCACGTCAAATACTAAGTTCTGTATAACCTAGATATCGACTGACCTGAGGACTGAAGTGGCACCAAGGTCGGCACCTACACCGACCTTACAGTGTCCAAGGCCACAACTCCAGCAGTAGTGGCCCCTCTCCCACTACTAGAGTGACTGGGTGATCCAGGTTGGGAGCCAGGATAGTTAAGGGAATTGGAAGGAGGGGATAGGTTGTCAATGTTAATAGGGAAGCGGGATTGGTTGTCAGCAGGAATGTGGGATTGGCGACTCTGGAAAAAGTCAGTAACTGTCCGCTTCTTTTGGTCAACTGCTGTTTTGTTGCTCATCTCCTGCAATTTCCCCCTGGTAGCTCTCCACTTGGCTGCATGATGCCACTGTGTACGCTCAGCCTGAATCCCATTAATTCCGTTTCCAGGGTAGTGAACTTTGTTTCCAGGGATTGCACCCCACTTGTTGATCAGTGCTGAGAGGGCTTTCTGCAATTCAGACAGCCACTCCCAAAGGGGAAGGATTGGTGGAATATTGGGGTATGTGTCTGGTTCATGTTCATCAATTTCACCGAAATTGGAATCAGACTCGCTCTCCAGTGCCAAATCAACGCTCTCTGTATCAGAGGGAACATCAGCATCACCAATAGTCATGTCCATAGTTGGTGGTGGTGGTTTAGTCTGTTTATGTGCACATGATTTCTGCATGAGTATGTGAGTTTCAGGTTGAATAAAAAATGTGAAAAAAGGACCTTCTGTGCATACAGCCCCAATGTCAGGGCACACCCGCCTGACCCTACGCCGCACCCCACGCCGTACCGCCCTACTCCGCTTCCCCGTTATCACCCTTTGTCTCCTCTCTCCCCCTTCCTTCTTTCTTTCTATTTCCTTCTATGGTCGACTTCCCTTTCTCTATGTATTACTAACACACCTAACCCCGCTCCCCCGATCGCCGCACCCACTGCGCGCATTCCCGCTCACAGAGCGGCACACCTCCGGGATCTCCCACGGAGATACCCAGGGGAGTGCAGCTGTGTGCGGGGATGACGTGGCTCCTCCCACGTGACCCTGACCGCATGTATATAATAGCACCTGGGGTGGGAACAGAAGAAGCAGCCTTCTTCTCAACTTCCCACTTCAGGTAAGTACTGTAGCTTCCCCCCTTTTAATGATAACCAACTTCCCACTTCAGCCTAAGTGGTCGGGGATGCTCACCCCGTGACGGGACCGCCGCTACGCATAGCCGACACTTGTCCCATCAAGTCCCTCGCGCCGGGACCTCGCCGCTTTCGGAGCTGTCCCTGACACCCAAATTACTTGTGCACTTGCATTTTTTCCCCAGAGGCATGCTTAGAAGTCTGTTCTGCTGAGTTTTGGAGGGAAAAGGGTATGGGGAGAATTTCCTTTTTTGTTCTTGGCAGTTGCTGCGATTCATTTCGATGATGTTTAGTGTGGCAAACTTGATGGAACTTCAATTTTTATTGTTGCACCCTTGGATTAATAACACTCATAGAAGTAGTCTCCTGACATCAGAATGTAATTTACCCATTACTTGATCAATAGGATATTTATTGAAGAAGTGAATCCAAAGACTTGTTAAGGAACATCTCTCCTACAGGCTTTTGGTGCTCATTTGAGCAGCAGAGCATTGTGCCAAGAATAAGAAGTGATGCAAGTTGTGAAATATTTGCATCCAGAGAGTCATTACTTATGTATGCGCCCTACCTTATATTTTGGAAGCTATTCAAATGGGCTATTCATCGATGTAAAGTGTGTTGACACCATGGGAAACAGTCCTGACACCCCTTTAGACAGTGGTCAGCATGAGCACAGACATTGAGTTATCCCAAAGACTCACATCTGAAAAAGTACCTTGCATTTCTCTCGATAATTTACTGGTCAATTTAGTCCCAAAATATATATTTTGGAAGCTATTCAGGTGGGCTATCCATTGGTGTAAAGTGCATGGAAACCGTGGGAAACAGTCCTGACACCCCTCTGGACAGTGGCCAGCTGTCAGGGTACCGAGCTGCTCGGACTCTAAGTCGAGGGATCCTGAGCCTTCGCTGGAGCTGAGGCCGAGGGGGACAGGATCAGTCTCAATGGGGGAACCCGGCAAAGCGGGTTGTGATAGGGATTCCAGCTGAGCAGCAAGGGGAAGTGAGATCATATCATTGTATATACTATGTACAACATACCTGAGCAGCGAGGGGAAGTGAGAGAAGAAAGTTATCTTCCTCACTTGCTACCCAGGGAATGATAAAGTCAGTATACCCGGCGAAGCGGGGCCGCTCTGCAGAAGGAAATATAACAAATGTCTGTGCCAGTCCGGGGATGATGATCAGGCTGTGCAGGTATGGGGCAGGTGTGTCATCAGTTGTGTGTAAGCAGTCCGGACTTAACCGGGCTGTACTCTGACACCAGCATTGTGCACAGACAGTGAATTGGACAGCCAATTTCGCATTTTTCTCAATAATCTATTGGTCAATTCAGTCTCAAATTATACATATTCTGGAAGCTATTCAACAGGGCTTATCCAACTATGTAAAGTGTGGCTAAACCATGGGAAACAGTCTTGACACCCCACTGGACAGCAGCCAGCAATGTGTACAGATTATGAGTTGGGAGCAACATAACAATACATACTTTGTTGGGTATTGATCATTGTATGAATTATAGAAATTCATATAAAACCTGACAGTCTACCTTATATGCCTGGGCTCACTGGCCAAGTTGTTATGGGGATGGGGGAAATTCCCCATTCCTCGATCCATTCTTATAGTGGGAAGACGAGAGTCATGTCTAGTTTGTACCATAACTGGAAGTGTAATCGATGAGTGTTCCCAGTCTGACCTGGGAGTGGACGATCGAATTCCCATCGATCGCAATGGGTGATGTAGTGAGCTATTAAGGGATTGATGATTGATAGTCGGAGATATCAGGACAGATGGGTCAGCCACGGATACTTGGCGCTCCTCAATGGAGCGTACCGTGTGCGAGGTCGTGACTGGTGAGATGGGTGAGAGCTTCGCGTAGTTGCCATCGGGTACTTGGCATTCGCAGTGCGAACGTACTGGTAGCGGGTTGATATTGTAGGCGTGCAATGAGGGCTGACTATTAGGGCCTTCGGTGACTTGGCGTTCCCAAAGGGAACATACCGTTGGCGGGGACATATGATGACTGGCAAAGGAAGAAACAGACGGTGGATGGGCGGCTACTTGGCATTCGCGTAGCGAACGTGCCGGCATCGCGGGTAAGTGGGCCTCATAGTGTTCACGATCACCATGATCGTGATGGGACGTCGTATGTTGAGTACTGGGGGGAGAGCGGAGTGATGAAGACCCATAGGGTACAGGTTCAATAGGACGATACACACGTCGAGAGTCTTCGACTCTCGACTTCGAGTTCTTGCGGCGAGGGCCACTAGAGGACTCGATATAACCAGACTTATAAGACATATTGAGAGTTGTACAGTCACACAGGTTCAGTTGAGTCACAGGGAGGGTTGTTACAGAAGGCGGTACACGAGACAGTTGTAGAGCAGTTGTTAGTTAGCGGGAACCGCCTTCGGCGGTTTCCGTACATGACGCGTGACTATCTACAAATGGTAAGGTCGTGGGAAATCCCGCAAAACACAAACAACCTCGGCCAGCACCAAAACCCCAATGGGGAAAGCTTTGCACGAGGGGGGGAAAGGGGTAGAACGGGTAAGGAGGATAGGGTAGCGGGATAGAGGACGGAAAGGAGAAAGAGGGGAGGAGCGATAGAGAGGGGAAGTCTTTGACCATGCGATGGATATGGTCGTTGGAGACTCCGTATCCGTAACACAAGTGGTAGGGTTGTGCTGTATTACTATAGACTGTATTGGTGCTTCAATATAATAGGTATGTGTAGTATGTATTCACATCCCCTAGTATGTAGGGTTGTCTGTTCAAACCCCTGAAGAATATCTCCATTTCTTTTTGGGCTATTGCCCTGTGGTCATGTTGCAATGCATTTAAACTCAATGGTCCCATTGCAATGCAGGTGGCTGTTGCAACATCAAGTAATCAATGCAAGACTTGCATTGCCACCAATCCATTTTGGCTGTTGTATTGTGTTGCATTGAGTTATAATGTATTGATACAGATTTGTATTTTTTCGGACATGTGGTATGACATGTCTGAGTCTGCATAAGATAAAATCTTGCTCTAGTCAGTATCTGGCACCCTCCATGATAACTGAGAAAATCCTATTCACAAAAATCCTACAGTGGAGTAGTCTGGGACCTGACTGATCAGAATGTGGCCAGATATGGAAGTGCCACATAAGGGAATACTGAATAGCGTCTGTGATGTGATTCAAATGTTTTGTATTGTACATGTAATTATGATGACCAATGCTGGAGTCCAGTTTGCAGAGGGTTGCACAACAAGTCATTTAGTGTTAACCCATGTGGTCATTGCACCCAACCCAACCCTGGGAGCTTGAGGAAGCACAGTCAAGGTCATGGAGTCAATACCTGGGCATGTGGGAAAATTAACAGTTTAAATATTAGTTGTAACTGTAACTGTTGTTGATGCACTATAGTGTAGATGTTATAGCATGAGTTGAGGATATGCAGTCTTTTTTGGCTGCATGTGTTCAATTCTCACTTGTTGCAACTTTTTTTTGGCATTCTCTGTGCCCAGGTATCAACTCTGCAGCTTTGACTCCGCGCTTCCTCAATGCTGGGCATGCGATTATTGCATGGGAGAATGCCAAAAAAAAGTTGCAACAAGTGAGAATTGAACACATGCAGCCAAAAAGACTGCATAGCCTCAACTCACGCTATAACATCTACATCAACAACAGCTACAGTTACAACTAATATTTAAACCGTTAATTTTCCCGCATGCCCAGGTATTGACCCCACGACCTTGACTGTGCTTCCTCAAGCTTGGGTTGGGTGCATGGGTTAACACTAAATACTTGTTGCGTGACCCTCTGCAAACTGGTCATCATAATTGCATGTACAATACAAAACATTTGAATCACATCACAGACGCTATTCAGTATTCCCTTATGCGGCACTTCCATATCTGGCCACAGTCTGACCTCTATTCAGTAGGGTCAGTCCTGCTCTGTTATGTGACCAAATGCCAGAATTATTTTTCTCAGTGCTGTGGACAAGTTCAATTCATTTACGGCTGAAAATGCAGGGAATTGACAGCCGGGTCATTGAATTGAGACCCTGGCACTATTTTTTAACGAAAAGCTGCCTCATAGAAAAGCCCCCCATATAATATGCTCCATATTTTGCTTACGTACTGCGATGGAACGAAGCGGGTGCTCGCCTATGGTGCCAACTATGCTATCAAGAAGCAAGGGTATGGTGCTCATCATCGGACAACACATCCCAGCAGGCCCGTGCCCGGCCAAGCGCGTCCCTTGAAAATCAGTAGCACGATCGATTATACTGCCCTCACAACAAACCCTCGCAAACATCGTGCGTGTATCCTTTTCCATCTATCTAACTACGCTTACATTCCATAGGGTCGTCCATCCAAAGTCCCCATTCTCAGTACGTCAAGCGCCAGAACCCAAACAGATTGTTTGTGACTGGAGCGAAGCAGCAACATATCCCTCAGACGGTGGTCGAAATGCCAGATATCTTAGGTACCACTCAGCTTTCTGCCCACGCTTACCGCTAATGTTGCGTCACATTCGTTTAGGAAGAAGATTACCCGCGGCGCTCTCATAAATGGGTTTTTCTGATTTTCTATCTCAGTGAAGATGAAATCGGAGGAACGTACGCAGACTCACCCCTAATCAAGATCCGAGTGATAGCCACCTCTTTCGTGTTCTCTCTCCGGGGCCCGACATTGTTGCGGGTATCTGAGCATAGGGTCTGTAACATTCTCTTTTGTTTGGTTTGCCGTAACGAACAGACGTTAGTTGAAACACAGCTCAATGAGAATGACTGGCTGTCTCATGAGCTGCTAGCGAAATGAGTTTGGTCATGACCCTAAGCATGTTTTATTCTGAATTTGATTTCCGTGCATATCGCTAGCGCTGAGAGCAGAATGGGTTGCGTTGATGTTGAAAAGCTCGACCGAGAGGATGAGTTCACCCCCTCATACTCATTGTTTCTCATGATCAGGCCCTGGCTGTTTGTTGACATCTGTTATTGTTTTGTTTTGACTAAGTCCAAGTTTGCTACCGGGACCGTTGGCTGACGTAACCAAGCCATCCAGATACAAAAGGTTCGCGCTTGCTTTCAGATTCGCAAAACGCTCTCTTCCACACCATCACTTTGCCCCCACTCTCACCTCCAACTCGCCGATTCGCATCTATTATCAATGGCTGGAGGGAAAGCTGTCGCTGACAAGAAGCCTGCATCTACCGCTGGTAAAGCTCCCGCTTCGAAAAGTAAGGGCCTTCTGTGTCCAACTCCAACTCTGGCCTCTAAGACGCGTTATTAATGTTCTGATTCATCACCGACAGCTACCGACAGTGCGAAGAAGTCGACCGTAGCGAAGAAATCTGCACCCTCAGCCGATGGTGACAAAAAGCCTAAACGCAAGAAGGCGAGGAAGGAGACATACTCTTCTTACATCTACAAAGGTGAGTATTCCCTTCGTGTTTGGGCTCCAGGCGCCCTGTTTACCGTGTGTCTGTCATAGTTCTTAAGCAGGTGCATCCCGACACTGGTATCTCCAACAAGGCTATGGCCATCCTTAACTCCTTCGTGAATGATATCTTTGAGCGCATCGCATCTGAGGCTTCCAGTGCGTCAACCTCGTCACATATCTTATACTCCGTTCACATTCATTACTCTCCAGAGCTTGCTTCCTACAGCAAGAAGAGCACGATCTCGTCGCGCGAGATCCAGACTGCTGTTCGCCTGATCCTTCCTGGTGAACTTGCTAAACACGCTATCTCTGAGTAAGTCTTGGTTCCTCTGTAGGCTGGTCAAAATGCTGACTAGGGGGTTTCTAGGGGTACAAAATCGTATGTTTTCATTACTGCTGTCTTATGTCACTCGTTGATGCCACGGTCTTCTCAGTGTTACCAAGTTCTCTTCGTCGCAGGCGAAGTAAAATCTTGTTTTATAGATCTGTAGGTTTATTACAATGATTTTGAAGCGCGGTGTATCCTCATCACTCGAACCCGGACAGTCGTTCTCCCTACTTCCATTTGTCATAATATTTGGCTTATTCTAGTACTTGTACATGTTATTGGAGTTTTGCAATCAAGTTTGTATGCGCGAGCGATTCTTTTCAAGCGTGCCGCCTGGCTTTGCCCGACTGATTGTTACCGGCCTCAGTGTCTATGCTCTGTTTGGCAATGCATTCCATCGAAGCGGTGGCGGTGACATGCTTCGAAGGTTGATCGGGTTTCCTAGGTTTCTCCACTAGTGGTTATGGCGGCTACAACGTCTCCCGAGCAGAAGGGAAAGCGAGACGTGTTGTACGCTGTTGCTGGTGAGCTCTACACGTTGCTTTCTAACTGCTGAAAAGGCTAACAATCATCAACGATTACATTCGATGCGTGTCTCTTGGGAACAAATCTGTCAAACTTCAATCCGATTTCAATGATCACAGATTTCTGTTTGATTCCAATTGGAACGGGGGAGGCGTCTGTTGCCGAGTACATCGCAAAAGTATGGCATCTCCTGCCGTTTCAGCAGTGTCTCTGGAGCACCGATCTCACGGGCTTGCTTGTTACCTCCTCAGTGTCAGGTCGTTCTGGAGCAGTCTGGGCTTCAGTATAAGGTAGATAGATTTATGAGCGTGTGATTGCAACTAGAAATTAAGGCCCATAAATTAATTCGCGCATGGGCGACTGTGTCTACAGATGCAGTGAGCGATGACATACCAAACTCGTCTTGAATCTTCCGCAATTTGATTCGAAATGCTACTCAGCGGGTATGGAACGAACCTGGGTACGTCCATGCCGGTCGATTATCTTCACTCCTTAAACTCACACGTCTCTCTTTCCCTTCGTCCCTGGGTCGATTCACCTGAAACCCGGTTCCACTTATCTGTCGTATGGCAGAAGGACCTTGGGACGAAGTCTCCGCCGCAATCCACGCCTGTCACCAAGTCGTTCATGCCCAAGGTGTATCGCGTGTCGCAACGGATATTCGTATCGGCACGAGAACGGACAGAATTATCGAGCCTGGAACGGGTAACGATGGGAAGGTGAAAAGAGTGGAAGATATTCTGGAGAGGTGGAAGTTAACTCGAGGGGAAAATGAATGAACAGAATGGATGTTAAAGCCATAAGGTATAATGGGGATATATATGTTAGGCAAAGGAAGGGACATCGGAATGTTCCTATCCTGAGAAGCCCTAGCCCTACAAGCTGCATGATTTTCACACAACCCGTAGCAGTGCGGTTTCTGGGCTCCTTGGACGAGATGTACAGGCCATTTACTCAACATGCGTAGAATCAGTCCCTAACTACATAGAAGCTCACTGCTGGATGACTCGATAGAAGGAAGGTAGATACAAGAGGATCTCTCGCCAGCTAATGTTCGTTGGTGCGGGTAAGCAATCGTCCTCGGTACTACTCGATCAACGCGTGCACACGCATGTAAGCATTTCAGTAAACAAGAAGTGCAAAATAAGACCGCCATACTGCCGTCGCTCCATCAACTTCATTGAATGCGCTCCGCCGCGTCACGTTATTGCAAGGTTGTTCATAACATGCGCGACCGCCCTGTGTCTAAGTTCACGAACAGTTTATTGACAACTGTTAGTTCCCTTGCGATGGACAGTGCGATTAGAGCACACGAGCGAGCCCTCATGACGACCAGCGATGCGAACAACAGTGAAATGGAGACGGCCATATTCAACCAAGACACGGTTGTGTCTGGGGGTCAAGCAGGCAGTGCCTTCGCACGAGGGCGACTGTAAGCGGTGATCGCTCACATAACAAGTATACTCACAGCAGACCAAAGCCTCGTAATAGATTTTTTTTGTAACGAAGATACATCATTTCATCACGTTTCCATTCGTTCTTCCAGGTGCGAGGATATCATGTTTCTCGCGAGTTTGCCTATCCACAACTGTAGATTCGCGTGCAGGATGATTTCCGTCCCTACCTCTGAGGTACGAACATTATAGTTTGGTTCTTGGCACCATCTTCACATGCACACAAGAAGCAACCAGACCTTTCTTGGACCATATCTGGAGTAATACGATCAACGATCCAGGTGGGTCAACAAGAAATTGTAAGCAGAACACACCTCTCCTTGAACAGTGACAGAACGTTTTCCTCCGGCCCTAGTGGTGGCGATCACTTTTAATCTCTCTCCAAGCCCTGCGGGTAGGTAGTAATTGACGGAGAGAGAAGATGAGACGCCACTATATAGCCACTCTTCTGATCGTATAAATGCAGGAACAGGAAGCGATGTGGCGCTGGGGTTAAGTATTAGAAGCAATTCGGTATGATGGGCGAGTTGGGAGAAGGCAATAAGGGAAACTCAACGCGTCTAGTATCGTAGCGGCGCACCCTCCATGCATTATCCACCAACCATTACACATATCTTCCCTCGGTGGGTTATTTTTTTTTTCAATCGGTGCGTGACGTGCAAGGAGCAAAATAGACTTACCCGGAGTGACCTCGATCTCGGACACCACGACCACTTGCTCCCTACGCCCTTCCAACATTGGTTCAAAATCTGCGCTAATTATCCTCAACTTTCTCACAACGTGGGCAGCAAAGCCATTCCCTCCTGCCTGGTGGAGTTTTAAGATCTGTTCTTTCGTCTCGACTGGTACACTCCCAGCGACGTCCCTAGCTGCTTGCTTCAAGTCACCAGAAGGCATGATAACGGGAAAGTATGCTAGCAGCTGAGAGCTTATCAAGAGTATTTAGTTACCGTATAACCGGCAGAATCGCTTGCGTGGGGAATAAATCGGATGAATGTGATTGAAAACCGTAGCGCCAATAACTGAGGCCATATGGAGCATCCCCTTAGCGGCATTCAAGCAGGTTGTGGGTTCAGTCATGGAGGAAATAAAAATGCAGAAAAGAGATGTAAGTACTGGCACGGGTAAGTGACATACAGTTTAATTCATGAGGGTGGGATAAAATTTCAGCGACTCCACGCTTGCCGCGTATCTCCATTGGCACGTTAGTGAAGTGCCAAAATTCCGCAACAATTCCATATAGCAGGGAACTTCGAATTACGAAGCCAGCGCTGAGGCCAATAATTTCTTGCGCCACATGTGATAGAGCGCGACATGGGTCCGACTGCGCACATGACGGTTAGTGTATGTGCCACAGCATTGCTGAGGCAAGATCCCAAACGCGTGAGGCACTGCTGGCGATAAGATACATGTAATGAACACGTACTCGGCGGTCAGGCGGTATGTCAGCACAGATCGTGTGGCAGTTGCTTGGAACGGTGGCCCAACGACAAACGTGGAAGGGGCAGCGACTGCTTGAAACAATCTCTGTAATGAAGACATCGGAGAACGTAAAACACGGTGCATTTCGCGTCACTCACAACAGCCTCCTCGGCATATCGCACCACAGAGGTTCCATTACTGAGAATTGTGTCCTGTTGTAATGTATTTATTTTGGCTCCAATCGTATCCGAAAGCCCTGCCAGCTTCGTAATAGTGTCAGCCAAAGTCCAGCCAACTGCGACTTTGATGCCTTCCACCCGGGGATCTCACCCGTTAGGGCCCCAACTGAGGAATGAGACGTTACCGTGATCCGAGACATCGTAAAGAACCGGGATGTCACCGTCAAGCGAGAGTCCGGCAACAACATCGTGCTCCTCTATCATGCTGTAGCAGAAAACCATCGAGGCGCTCGATATATTATAAGACGAAATGTCGGACTAGCGATGTTGTCGCTCAGTCCCGTTGTACGTGAACTAAAAGTATATTAGAATAATCACCTAGCGATGTTGTCGCTGGTGTACGAATATTAGATACACGTTTTATCAATGATGAACAAGAGATAACCAACATACCTCAGTCCCGTTGTACGTGAACTGAGGAAAGGTTGGGTTGTGAAAAATTGTTCTTTTATAGTCAGGCGCTATGCACTGAGGAAAAAGATTCCATGACAAAATCATGCGGACGTGAGGATTTCGTAGAAAATCTTGGCAAGGGGTAGGATTCTCCGTGACAGGATTTTCCGTCGATCTTGCTGCATGACAGGATTGCGGTTCCAGGCTATCTAAAATCCTGCACAAGGAGGATTTTATCATCAAAACTTGTATACGCTATAATTTTCAGCCATAATATTACTATCTTGTAATGCATGTTATGACATATATTCAAGGATCCGCTGCGATCTACAACTGCCCACATGGATCCACCTCCCCAACCCTGAGTCGACCAACAACGGTACACGCAGCATCTAGATCCACAACCTCGACGTATGAAACTGTTTTTAAATATGCTAGTTCAGAAATTACATCATGTCTGGTTTTGCGATTACAGCGCATTTTGATATCAACGTTGACTTTGGAAGGAGGCCAAGCCTCATTTCTCTTCGGCTCTTCACGCTCATGTCCCTGAAACCCCCCAAAAAGATAGTGCAAGTTGTCGAAGGAATGCGATGTTGATTTTTTCGAAACAGGAAGTAGCAAACATGTCGGGGTGGAAATCGATGACAAGGGGAAATGGGGTGTAGGAAATGAATCTAAGGGCGTCACAGAACGTCAGAATGGCGACTCAGGTGGGAGACGAAAGCCAGAAACAACAACGTGAACGCACCTAAAATCGACCAATTAACCAAAACTCGCGCATCCAACCCTCAAGATCCATTCACATCAATGCAAAGGGACTGCACGAAGAAGCCCCATCGTCACAGACTCCACTCCTCATCGATCGAGCCCGAAGCGCCCAGAAGGTCTTCCAAAAGATATAGCAACTCACCGCAAAATCACTTCACAACAATCATGAGGCCACGAGCCAAAAGGGCGCCTCGGGTTGGACTTAGGGGAATACAAAAATGCTAGCGGGCATCTACGAGTTGTGGCATTCCAGAGAAGCTGTCGTCCATAGGAATGATGGAGGCCTTAGTTTGGGCCTATTAATAGATGTAAATGCTGGAAGCAGAGTAGCAGAGGCCCAATAGTAATGGGATGTTGCAACTGAGGGAGTTGGGACTTCGACGCGTTGTGTCGGTGTGTTTGGTGTTGTTTATGTTGGCCCTCGGGTTACTTCAATCCCAATCTCACTCTCCGTGAACACAACTCACTTACCATGCCTCAATCTAGCCAGAAGCGAGCAATTGATCGGGGGCAGGGGAGCCTAGAAGCGGCACATGAAGGTGTGCCCTTTCTCTTGGAACAATGCACTTATGTGTGGTTCACATTCGTGCCATGACTGTGCCATCTTCATAATATGGGTAGAGCTCCTGGCAGAAGTTAACACGTGTAAGGAGTTACTTAAACTGTTTTTTTGTCTTCAAAAACCAACTAGAGTCAAAGAAATGTGTCCAGGGCCGATTCCAATGCCATGCGGCTCTGAGATTGACCATAATGTGCGTAAGCCCTCTCATATTATCAAATCTGATGACCTTCAGGTCAGATACCATCAGGTTCCCCCAACTTGTCGCTTCGATCTCAAAACCTGTCACTGGTACTAGGGCATTGGCAAGAAATCGCAAGGTGGCCAACCATTACTGGGTACATTCTTACCACGTACTGTTGTTATGAGTAGACTGTGGTGATCAGCGGCTGCACTCGCGAGATAACAAGGGACTAAAGTAAGTACCAAAGTTGACTATTATTGCATTTAACTATGGCGCTTTTTGTATCTAGGCCATGCTACAAGGTGATTGGTGCACGGACCAATTGGGAAGGCAGTGTCGCATGTTTGGGATGTTGCACGCTAGCGCTGTGCATGGGACATGTTGCCTGAACGGTGACAAGACTCATAATCCAACATGTACAGGTGAGTGCTTAACATCTCACCATGCACTTCTCACTAGTAACGGTGCTAGGCAAACCGCAGTATAATATGTCGCCCTGAACCTCACCCCTATGCTTTTCTCCAACAACGCTCACGGCACTCTTGACCCCCCATTGTTCGCCTCAACTTTTTCGCTGTTCAAGTTCCTGACACTGCAACAACTTTATGACCCCTCACTTTTGATTGTCATTTCATTATGTTTTTGCGGCGCTCCAGTCATATTGTCCCATATCATCGTGTCGACTAGTCAATATATAATCCTTCATCCAGTCAGACATAAGACAAGATTTGACCCGCTTTTGAGCATGATTTCCTAGGATATTATTACGGATAATTACATGATAAAAGGATTATTCCCTGTTATTCAGCAGGACTTTTTGACAGGATTCTGGTCACAATCATGTACGGCAGCAGGATTTTTCCAACATGGAAAATTTAGACAAAATCCTGTATCTCAGTGGGACTTTAATCCTACTTCACGGAGGATTTTCTCATGGAATTTTTTTTCTCAGTGTATGAATGCGCACTGACTTTGGCACGGACGCCACCAAGAAAGGCAATAGGTGTAAATCTAAACGCCACATGACTCAACATCACCAAATGTGAGTTGGTCATAGCGAACACCATAATACCAAGAATTCTACATATATTCCTGAAGAGAATGCCACAGGAAAGAAAAACGGGTCACTTGGACCCATGTGGTTGTTACTAGGGTCGATGCTCCGCACACATTCAAAAAGGGCGGGAACCACCCAGCTGTACCATGTTGTGCCGTCGTAAATTGCATAGGATGTTGCAGAGCAGTTATTGGAAAGAGTCCCCGATATATTGTAGCGATTGTCGTCATACGGACCCGATATTACTGGTGATGGAATGGGAACGGGGGTACAGTGGGCTGAAGGTAACAACGATCAGAGGCAGCACAGCGATGAGCCCATAATAGTTACCCACCGTGACGGTAAAACTAGGAACCACCCATTGGTATCGTTGAAGGTATATGGAGAGTACATGACGCCGATCTGGGCTGGAGAGATAACTTAGCGCCTGTTGACAGACTCAGTCTGACCTTAACTCACAAACCATGTCCACGAACTGTGTAGGACCGATTGTCATTGGTGAATTTACACCTAAATCCGGAAGTCACGCACCCCTGCAGCATCCACGAACGGGATGTATTGGTTCACAAGCTTGTCATAGCCCAGAGCCGGTTTACCTGCGATATTCACAGTCGCGTCCCACTGCCGGGATGTGGAAGTAACCTGGAAATACGCCCCAGCCAGGGAATGGAAAATGCCACTGCCGAGCGAGATGCTGGAGAGTGCGAAGACCACCCAATGGTGCCGCTTAAGACTTAGAATGCCAGCTGAAGCTGGGCTACAAGAACCACTATGAACTGCGAACAAGTAAAGCCCATCCGAATCCAGAATCATACCCTTTCTTTCCGTACTTATCCATATCTTTCTCGGTGCCGATATAGGGCTATTGTGATAACATCAGCGTCATTGAACAACCAGGAGAGATTGGGAGCACCTTGAGCAGCTTGAGAACATCATAGGACATGAGAACTATAAGAATAGTGGAACGAAAAGTATAGATGGCCCAAAGGACTGAGGACTCCCTTTCAATCGCTACCACGCACGATTAGTAGTAGAGCTGTACCTTCGCGAATTGCACGCCAAGGGCGACTTCGAAGTCAGTGAGATGGGCACTAAATCCTAGCGAGGATAAGTGAGCCTGACTATTCATACCCAGGGTTTTACCTGACCCGCGGCACGAGTAAAACAATACAACTTGCGAGACCCAACGGAATTGTTCTCCATCAATGTAACTTGGGTGGCTCCACTAGTAACGTTTCAATGGCGTTCTTATACATGGCTTCCTGAGATGGGTAGAGGTCGCTCTGATCAATTTGAGCCTTCCCCATATCAGCTATCTCCATAGGATATCCTGGATGATGGGTAAATGGAGGGGCAGCGGTGGTGGATTCGTCGTGCTCACCGCTGCACCCCACTGAGATGTTGGCACTCGTAGGTGGGTGTAGGACTTTGTTGGAGTTGATAGACCATCCCCCCCCTATTGAAGTGGAACTGAAGTGGATCAATAATGCATTTGCAAAGGTTTAACAATGAAACAGACGCTCACCGCGTTCGTCTGCCATCGTTGGGCGTGCAGACCTAATCACCCTCTCCGCCCAGAAAAACATGTTGGAGAACAATGCGTTCGATCACAAATATAGTGTTGGAGTGTGTGCCCCCACATATGGCAACTTGTCTGAGCGATTCACCGTAATATAGGGGAGAGAAAGATAATTAACGAATATTCTAAAAGATTCTCTGTCATATTACGTCGAGCACTCACCGCAGTTGAAGTTGGGGACCTTGACAGGATATCATAAACAAAGCCCTCTACTTGCCTAATTTGGTATACGTTGTTTCCAGCGGAGTTGGTCAAATGCATTGTATCTCATTCTTGTGTGCATGCAGGAGACTCAAGCGATTAGTGGGGCAACTGTCCCGGCAAATGCCAGAACCTCTGGAATTGAAGGCGACCCGGTTAATTTACAATAGGGAGGAGACCGGGGAAGGAGGAGGGTTTCGCAAACGACAAGGACAACGAGCAATAAGGAAAGAAAGACAGAAGTTACAGCGAGCAAGGAAACAACCGAAAAAAGGAAACCTAGAAAAACCTAAGTAAGCAATCGGGATCCCACCCACCGAGAGTAACCGAAGGTCACAACACCTCCCCCTCGGCGAGACCGAAAGGCTTACCGGAAGCAAGGAAGACGAAGGAATGTCTTCATCAAAAAACAGCATACAGGACAAAAGAAAAGACTAAGAAAGAACACGCCTTCAGCAGAGGAAAGGTATAAGAGGGCCAGAGCCCTGTAGCATAGGCGGACGAAACTCATGGATGAGATTGTCCGGAAGAATCGACCCAGGAATGCAGTGGCAAAAACCTGAATCGGCATGACTGTAACCTCAGAAGGCACAGTATGCATAAGGCCGACAGCGGGTACGGCGCATAAGATTAAACACCACCGGGAAAAATGCCACACGCGAAAAGAGACCAATGAGTGCGTTTAGACTGAGTGTGCACAAGCCTAATTTAATCTCGTACCTCCATTAAATAACAAGTGTTTCCTGAGTCATGATTACTACAGCCGTTTTCACCCTATCCCACACCCTCTTGATGATCTGATAGGGGTACGTACCAAGCGGGTGGATGTTCGCATTTGGATTCGGCGGATCCGACTTTGAGAGTGTGAGATCTAGAGAAGGTCGAAAGAAAAGTATGTGCCAGCAGTAAGGGGGATCAGCCTATAAGTATAAGATGCCTGTTTATTATTCCGCTGTCAACAAGTAGGCGACCATTTCTCTTCGTCCTGGGAAGAACGAATCCGAGAAGTATGATTATCACAAGCAAATTAGCTGATTTTGGCATAGTTTTTTTTCTACTTCTTATGTTCGGGTCCTTGTTTACTTTTTTTTTTTGGCAAGTGTAAACGGGCAAATGAGAAGATTCGCAATATCCACAGTTGGTGGTGGGGTGAAAATGTATAGAACGAAGCGAAGCCTGATTGTGGAAATGAGGGGGAAGGTATGTATGTATCCTTTTTTGATGGATCAGTCGACTTGATTACACTGACGGCTCTTGCACTCATATGACTGATGGTAAAGGGCATTTGGGAGGTGGCTGCCAGTTAAGATAGCTTCGAATGGTTAATGGGACAGGGAACAGATGACGTAGTGCAGATAGATGGGTGGACAGGTCGGACATTTTGGCTTTGAGAAGGGAGGCCCATAGTAGAGTCGCCTAGGAGTTCCGAATTCGTTCTCACACATTGAGCGATGATGAAATTAGTGCCGCGAGGAACATGAAGTTGTTGACGTGTTTGAGCTACCTTGAACAGGAAGTAGATCAAAAACGTTATGTGATCTGCTGCAAGTGTTGAGAAACACAGCAGTTACGATTGCGGTGGCCCAATTGTTCATGATTTGACATTATGAAGACAGATCCGAAGGAAGCCAAGCGGTAGCAGGAAACGAGACAACGAACTTGTTAGGGGGAGCGTGCGACTCAGAAATGGTGAACATCTGCAATATCCCATCAGCGCTGCAAAAACGCAACCCATTCCAGTCACTAATTACTGTCGTGATTAGTTGTGTGAAATAATTGTTATTTAATGGAGGTACGAGATTAAATTAGACTTGTGTGTGGTCAGTCTAAAAACGCGCTCTCTGTTTTTCTTCCGCATCTGGCACAATCCCCGGTGATGTTTCATCTTATGCGCCGTACCCGCTGTCGGCCTTACGCATACTGTGCCTTCCGAGGTTGCAGTCATGCCGATTCAGGTTAATTGCCGCTGCATTCCTGGATCGATTTCTTCGGACAAATTCTGTATGTGTTGTTCGTCTGCCTAAGCTACTGGGCTCTAGCCCACTTTACCTTGACCTCTGCTGAAGATGTTTTTATTTCTTAAGTCTTATTCCCTTTGGCCTACAAGCTGTTTTTTGTTGAAGTTTTTTGTTTGGCTTCTTGTTTCCGGTAAGCTTTTCGGTCTCGCTGAGAGGAAGGTGTTGTGACCTTCGGTTACTCGGTGGGTGGGATCCCGATTGCTTACTCAGTGTTTTTTCCTAGGTTTCATTACCTTCGGTTGTTTCCTTGCTCTTTGTAACCTCTGCTCTTCTCCCTCTTGTTCCTCGTTATCCTTGTTTTTCGTGACTACTTGCATCAAGATCTCATGAAGTAGTCAACCATTTTCATTTGCAATTCAAGAGGTTCTGGCATTAGCCGGGACTGTTGCCACGCTATCTCGTTGCGTCTCCTCCGGCGTGCACACAAGGGCATTTGAATAAGGCATTTGAAGGAGCAGCTGATCTCCTGATTGAGGAAATTACATAAGTGTTTAGCCCAGCATTCATTCGCTGCCATTTTTGGACAATCGATGAACCGCCGGGAGACCATATTTGTGAGCAGGATATCACAGTACTGTCATTAGATATCGTGCTCTTAGTTTTAACAGGTTATGAGCTCTTGCCTATACCATCCATACTCGATCTGCCGTGACCACCGTGACTGTTGTCAGTTCACACATTGCATTTAGGGTGTGTGGCGCAACAACTAAGGGACTAACCATCTAAAACCTCGGCTTTGTCTCATGGCAACAAAATCGTTGGCACAAAGGGCATCAGAATGCCGCCTCAACATTACAGCCATTTCCCAAAAAGAAAACAGCGGGTAGGCGCGGTTGTAATCGGGCTCAAAGTCAGTATGCACCAACTTACCTTGTATGCAGCATCGCGACAGGTCTAAAGTGCCTTAGCATGGTTTGTCCATGGAATTGGAGGTGGCATAGCATGAAGCTGACCCTGACAGGCACCGTAACCAGTGGAGAAGGAAAGAGACGACGAAACAAGTGTGTGCACAAAAACAGATACAAGCTTGGAGATAGAAGGAACAACTTGGTGACGCGACAACAAGAAAAATTGGAGATAGGTGATGGGGTGTGGATGATCTTCGTCCTTATCTTTGAGGTAGCAAATATCATAGTTTAGTTTTTGGCACCATCTTCACATGGACGCAAGAAGCAACCAGGCCATTCTTGGACCATATCTAGAGTGATATGTATGATCAACGGTCCAGGTGAGTCAACGAGAAATCGTAGCAGAACACACCTCTCCTTGAACAGTGACGGAACGTTTTCCCCCAGCCCTGGTGGTGGCGATCACTTTTAATTTCTCTCCAAGTCCTGCGGGTAGGTAGTAATTGATGGAGAGAGAGGATGAGACACCACTATATAACCACTCTTCTGATCGTATAAACGCAGGAACGGGAAGTGATGTGGCACTGGGATAAAACGAGAAGTATTAGAAGTAATTCGTGGGCGGGTCAGGAGTTGAGAAGGAAACTCAACGTCTCTAGTATTGTAGCGGTACACCCTCCATGCATTGTTCGCCAAAAGTTACACATATCTTCCCTCGGCGGGTAAACTTTTTTTTTCAACATGACGCGCAAGAGGAATAAGCTTACCTGGAGTGACTTCGATCTCGGACACCACAACCACTTGCTCCTTACGCCCTTCCAACATTGGCTCAAAATCTGCACTAATTATCCTTAACTTTCTCACAATGTGGGCAGCAAAGTCATTCCCCCCTAGGTGGTGAACCTTTAAGATCTGCTCTTTCGTCTCGACTGGTACATTCCCAGAGACGTCCCCAGCTACCTGCTCCGAGTCACCAGAAGGCATGATAGCGGAAAAATATGCTAACAGCTGAGGGTTTGTCCAGAGTATAACGGGCAGAATCGCTGCGCGTGGGGATCGAACCAGATGAATGGAATTAAAAGCCGCAGGCGCCCACCAACTGAGGCCATATGTAGAAATAAGAGCAGCTCTATTGTGGCCTCAGTCATGGAGGAAATGATATATTGGCACTGCCAGGATGGAATTTCAGACAGGAAACGACCTTGCGAACCTCTCGGCGCTAAGTAGGTGGTGCTCTGAAGAATTTGTCATTGCTGGTCAACGCCTTATATACAGGGAGGCCAAACAAAATAAACAGTCCGGCCATACTTGAACCTACATGAGTGAAACGAAACAGATAAATGGAACTGGCAAGGTGGCGTCTGTTATCATTCGCTATGTCCGTTCGGACTTACGGCTGAACCGTAACACTTGCCGCATATCTCCACTAGCAAGTGGGTGAAGTGCCGAAATTCCGCAACAGTCCCGTATAGCCAGGAACCCCGAATCATGAAGCTGGCGCTGGGACCGAAGGCGTGACACTGGCCAATAATTTCTCGCGCCACACATGATGATGTATATAGAGCACGATGAGAATGAGTCCAACAATAGTGCACATGGCAGTTAGTGTATGTGCCACAGCATTGCTAAAGGCAACATTCCAAACGCATGAGGCATTGCTGGCGATAAGGTGCATAGAATGGACACGTACATAGCGACCAGGCGGAATTCCAGTACAGATTGTATAGCATTCGCTTGGAACGATGGCCCAACGACGAACGTGTAAGGGGCGACGACTGCTTGAAACCATATCTGTGATGAAGACATCGGAGAAAGTAAAACACAGCCTATTTTGCGTCACTCACAAGAGCTGCCTCCGCACATTGCGCCACAGAGGTTCCATTACTGAGAATCGTGTCCTGTTGCGATGCATTTATTTCGCCTCCAACCATATCCGAAAGCCCTGCCAGCCTCGCAATAGTGTCAGCCAAGGTCCAGCCAACTGCAACTTTGATGCCTTCCACCCGAGGATCTTGATTTGGATTTTGCCAGCCTATCCTGAAACTGCATGTCAGTATGAGTGCGAATACGCTGGCTTGAAACACCTCACCCGTTGGGGCCCCAACTGAGGAATGAGACGTTACCGTGATCCGAGACATCGTAAATGTTCGGGAGGCCGTCAACCGAGAGTCCGACAATAACATCGTGCTCCTCTATCATGCTGGAGCAGAAAATCATCGAGGCGCTCGATTTGTTCTTGAAGAAAGAGAATGCCACAGGAGAAAAAAAGGGGTCACTTGGACCCATGTGGTTGTTACTAGGGTCGATGCTCCGCAAACATTCAAAAGGGGCGGGAACCACCCAGCTGTACCATGTTGTGCCGTCGGAAATTGCATAGGATGTTGCAGAGCAGTTATTGGAAAGAGTCCCCGATATATTGTAGCGATTGTCGTCGTACGGTCCCGATATTACTGGTGATGGAACGGGGGTACAATGGGCTTGCACTAACAACCCCCTCATGGCGACGCTCACGTTTCCACCTTGGTCAATCGCATTCGAATCAGCGAGCTGAAGGCAACAACGATCAAAGGCAGCACAACGATGAGCCTATAATGATTACCCACGGTAAAACTAGGCACTACCCAAAAATTTCCATTGGTATCATTGAAAGTAAATGGAGAATACAGAACGCCGATCTGGGCTGGAGAGATAACTCAGCGCCTGTTGACGGACTCAGTTTGATCTTAACTCACAAACTGTGTCCACGAACTGTGTAGGATCAATTGTCATTGGTGAATTTACACCTAAATCCGGAAGTCACGCACCCCTGCAGCATCCACGAACGGGATGTATTGGTTCACAAGCTTGTCATACCCCAGAGCTACTTTACCTGTGATATTCACAGTCGTATCCCACTGCCGGGGCGCGGAAATAACCTGGAAATACGCCCCAGCCAGGGAATGGAAAATGCCACTGCCGAGCAAAATGCAGGAGAGTGCGAAGACCACCCAACGGTGCTGCTTAAGACTTAAAAGGCCAGCTGAAACGGGGCTACAAGAACAAGTATGAACTGCGAACAAGTAGAAGCTCCATCCGAATCTAGAATCATACCCTTTCTTTCCATACTTATCCACATCTTTGTCGATGTAGGGCTATTGTGATGCACATCAGCGCTATTGAGCATCTAGCAGTGAGTGGGAGCACCTTGAGCAGCTTGAGAGTATCATAGGACGTTGAGAACCAGAGGAATAGTGGAACGAAAAGTATAGATGGCCCAAATGACTGAGGACCCTTTTAGTCGCCACCATGCAGGATTAACAGTAGAGCCGCACCTTCGCGAACTGCTTGCCGCGGGTGAGTTCGAAGTCAGTGAGATGGACAACAAATCCTGGCGAGGATAAGTGAGCCTGATTGTTCATACCTAAGAGTCTGTGGTTTTTACCTGACCGGTAGCGCGAGTAGACTAATACAACTTGCGAGGCGATGGCGACAGCAATGAAGGCGAGACCCAATGGAATCGTTCTCCACCAATGCAACTTGGGTGGCTCCAATGTTTCCAAGTAGTTCTCATACGTGACTTCCTGAGATGGGTAGAGGTCACTCTGATCGATCTGAGCCTTCTCCATATCAGCTATCTCCGCAGGATATCCTGGATGATGGGTGAATGGAGGGGGAGTGGTGGTGGATTTGTCGTGTTCATCACTGCTGGTGGTTGGCACTGGTAGGTAGGTGTAGGACGTTGTGGGAGTTGATAGACCATTCCGCCCACTGTTGGCTACTGCGGAAGTAGATCAATAATGCAGTTTGACAAAGAAACAGATGCCAACCGCGTTCGTCTGCCATCGTTGGGGCGTGAAGAGCTAATCAGCCTCTCCGCCCGGAGAAAAAAAACACACAAACAAGTCACCTTGGACAGCCTAAGGGCCGAGCCTCATTAGGGGGTTTACTTGCTGGGCGCGGCGTTCCCCGAATTCCCTTGCTAGATTCGCCTCTGTCTGGATCTGACCTGCCTAAATCAGCGCAGTTCCCTTGACCCTAATAGGCCAAATCCGGCTTGCATACACCTGCCTGGTCGCTCGTCGAGCTGCGAACACGCAATTCAAAACTTCCGCTTGTATTGAAAGTCACAGCTACGTAGGGAACGTGGCCGAGGTCATTGACCGGGGTTCGAGGTGGTGCCCGTTGCCGTTCCCAACCAGAAACGCAGAAACGGTGATCGGGACGGCTCACATGATCGCATCATAGCTGGCCTAATAATAGAACAGCGATCAGTGGGAAAATTGTTAATGTGGGGCGTTTTAAATATAAGGCTGTGTCGTGGGCCGGGCGTCGAGAGAAGAAGTACTGTGCGTCGAATGGATTACAGATTGCCATAGGGCATGCGGGGGGATGGTTCAGGCGGTAGAGGGCTGATCGCGCGAGGGGGAAGGTGTAATCGGAACGTATCATGATTTGTCTTAAGGATTTGTAGGATCCGCCATAGAGCAGAACGAATGTGTCATCATGAGAAACAAGATGCTTTAAGCGGTGCCTGTAACCCGGTTATTCGGGATTCAGCATCTTGCCCAAGAGCTGCAATAATGGTTAGGACTATAAGGGCTCTATGAATTATTGAATATGATCAAAGCCCCAACGTCCATAAGACCCATGATCTTCAACGACCGAGGGGAGGCGACTTGAGAATACGCCGTGGACGTACATAATAACCAAACCGGTTGCATGCTCTAGTGCGGCTACAAATTTTGCAGTAATGGGACGAAGCTCACGAGAACTCACGCTAGTCAGGTGCGAAGTGGATGGAAAATACCATTTAACTCGGAAGAAGCTAAGCGACTTGGCTGAGGAACGATGACCCCAAGTTATTCAGCAAAGTACAGAAGGGTTGATGTGCGGGTGCAACGACTCAAGGGACCGGAACGTCCAGGAACGAGTGAAGGCGCCATGGACGACTGGGTTGACAAAGTTCTCTCTGAAAACGCAATACCAGCCCAACAGCTCCAACGCAGATTCCAAGTGGGCGCGCTGCCTGCACGAGGCAGGCGATGAGGGACGAGTACTCAGGCCCTCTCAACACACCCACAAGCTAGCTTCGCCAGGTCTGGCATCCAGTGCCAGATCTCATTCCGTTGGGTGGAAAATTGGGAAGAGGGGCTTGCGTAAGTTGGCCGCGGGGAGAAACGGATAATAAAGGCCTAGCGACTCGTGCTGCCACAACGTGATGCGTCGTACAGGCGCTGCAGGCGACCGTCCCTTGGGAAACGATTTATCCATACAGGACTGGCGTCACACTCAAAGACCACATGCATTGAGCACAAACTGCTGTAGATTCGTCACTGATCAACTGCCAGGATAATTTGTCGCTTGCACCCCCATGTAATTTCGCCAGGGAAAAGTCGAATAGTGGGTGAGGCAAAGCGGTGTCTCTCGGCAATGCCAGCCTGAGGGCTGGTACACAGGTGGGGAGGAATGAAAGTGCTCAAACAATCCTGCTTCGAGGTCGGCTGTGTCAGTTTGGACACATCCATCGATTGGTCATATTAGACAAGCTTCTCATTGGGCAATCGGACATGGGGGCTTCCTTGCCCGTCAATTGCAATCATCAATAAAGTTTCGACAACCAGCTCTCCAGCGAGTGCAATGTAACTTTAAGTCAGGAACATGAGTCCTGTGACACTTGACGGAAGGCTCCTGATGCCATGTATCATGCCTGTGGCTGCGTACGCGGTTCTTGGTTGCCGATTTCTACAGTCCGCTTTCGTATGGGTTGAACTACCACAAGCTACGGTAGGCAGGATACCAGCTTCTATAGATAGAAAGCTACGGCGACATCGAAATAAAAGCCAAAGGCGTCACCCTAGGCCACGAATTGTAAGACAGTCGGTTTCCATGTGCAAGTTCAGGCATATTACCTGCACAGCAGTGTCACTCTCCACCTAGTGAAATTGCGTAGTTTGTGCCACTTGTGCTTACGTGTTTGACTCTTCTGTGACATCACGTGTATAATACAATTGAGTTGGTGTGATCAATTCTGCGTGACTCCTCCAACAGCCAATCCGATCAAACGTTCATCTTCCGTCTCGCACGATGTCTCCGTGAACAATGTAACGTACTAGAGTGCTTGCGCTTCGCTTAACTCTGCACAGCCCTTGCTTCCTTTCGCCTGTCCCAGCATGAATATATCTATTTTTTTTTTCAGTTCGTTTCGCAAATATCCTTAGGCTATAAAAATATGTATGTGTTTAATTGGAATGCAGACATCCGACAAACATAATCCAATTTTTCCAGTCATTTGGAGTCTGGAATTATTTAAAGGCAAAGCGAAAAAGAAGGTGGTATGGCGACAAATCACAGGGGAAGCAGCATACGCCTTCACGGACTACCGTGCACAAGGACAGACGATGGAATACCTGTGGTCAGACACAGGAACATCACCAAACACGTTGACACCTTTGCGTGACATTGTCGCGTGCAAGAGGAAGAAAAAGCATATGATTAAACCGAGACTTTAAGGACAAGAGCCGAGTGGGAGCGGAAATGGTGGAAGGAAAGTAAAGGGAGAGAAGGGACAGGCGAGATGACGTAAAAGAAAGCACGTAATGAAAAGGAAACAACCCAAAAGGGAAGATGATGACAAATTTTCAGCGTCGCCAATTGCGTAATATCGGGAGTGGTTAGTGACTCTGTGTCACGTTAAATGGTGTAAGGGTCCCTCTCAAGGGCATACCGATGTACTCGATAATCTGTAAAAGCGTAAGCAACATCCATCGTTATCTGATCACTTTCTTGTCTCCATTGCGCATGTTTACCTCGAATGTTCGTTGGATGGGAAAGACTGGAATCGTTGACTCTCCCAGCTCTTCTATTTCCGAACTTCGATATCACTCTAATTTCAATAGAGCGCAACTCGGTGGGTATTTCATTTCTTGCACCGCACCCGTCGTGTCTGAGTCTTCCCAAGGATCAGCCCATATTCCAACTATCTGCCCTTGAACTCCGTTCACCACATCGATGTCGATGTCTAAGTTCGTTGTTATAATGACTTTGCCTCTGATTGCTATTTCCACGACACTTGGGAACCCTCCCTGCCACCCCAATCTGCCTGTATGACCCTCTTTGAACACGTGGTGGGCTATTGCCCATCGTTCTCAATTCCCCCGTTGTATCCTCGGCATGAAATCGATATAACACTGTCCCTGTTCTGCGACAATGTAACCGTAATGCAAGTTCGTTGTGTTCGAACTGCATGACACGCTGTCACCAATACCGCTTCACACCAGGGAGGTTCTTCTGCATGGGTTTATTCCTAACACGATGACATCTTGTACCATAACTTGCATGTACATAGCGTCCCCCTCCCCTCGTGTACTATACTTAATTTCGTTGTACATAACTTCCGATGCTGATTCCTCTGATGTACCATTTCTTCACTGTACATATCATTCAATGCACTTTCCGCGTTATCCTTCATTCTTCCGTGAATGCTGTGCAGGTCGTTGCGATGCGAAGCACGCCCTCTAGTACTAGTAGTACGCGATCATAAGGCCGGCCTCCGGTACGGTCGCTGCCGATTTTGTGAATGACGCTTGCATTTTTTCGGCAGACTCCTTCAAGACGGCGCTCGTCGGCCAGATATGGATTTCCCTTTTGAACGACTCGCGGTGATGGGGTCCCCATCCACACGCGCGGCCACACCCTCAACGCATCTCGCATCTCTCTTCACCTTGGATACGATATTTATTTTGCAACGTTTGGTTTTTCTTGCCTGATTAAACGTGTGGTACCGGTGACGACATGCATATAGGCGGACAGCGGACGTGCATGATGTGGATTCAAGTAACTGATGCGAGTTGAACCTCGCAGGACTCCAATGATCAGTGGGGTTGAGATCAATAAGGGGGAATCAGGTGAAAGCAACACTCATGAGGATTGACCTCACTATGGCATCATGAATATTCATGCTTGGCGCTTGGGAAGGTTCGCAGTATTGGTTCGCGTTGGACCGAGCCCACTGTGCGCGGAGTAGCGGAAACAAAGACATCCCTTAGGCACTACACAAGCGCGCACCCAAACAAGCAATGGAATAACCAGCCATCCACTCATGCGGTTTCAGGTCGATCCCTCTGGCCTTAGCCAGTCCTGTCAAACAAAGGGTAACCATTCCAGAGACAAAAAATGAAATTATCGTTCTAAGCAGAAGGGGGTGAAAATCATGTATCTCGAGAAGGACGCGCGGCAGCCAAACACTTTCGAAGTGCCATGTCCAATAATGGCAACGCATTGTCCAAATCCATACCATACTGACCTCCGAACTTGCACCTTCCCTAGCCACATCATCCTCATCTTCGGACAGTTGGCGCCTAAAGAAAGGTCTTATTTTCGTTCTCCCTTCCCACCCAACGTCGCATCCGCACCCTCGTTCATGTACTTCCCATCCCGACGCTGCAACATCATCCCACTCCCGCCTCTGCTCCCGTTCCAACTCTGCCTCACCTTCAAATACGACCCCACCCACGAAACCCAAACCCAAGAATCACCCCGGTCCAAAGGTCCCACACAACTTTCACGCTCCCCGGCGTCTCCTCCACAATCCACAAAGGGTACATATCCCTATATCCAGTTCGAACTTGGCAAATCAATAGACAAAGGATGGTAAGACCTAGGATTGGATGCTATCATGACGAAAGGAGATATGAATTAGGGATGTGTGATGCAATGCGTTGATAGGATTGAGGAAGGCCAGAATAGGCAGCATTCCGTGATAAACGAGAATTAGTAGATGCTGCAGGTATCATACATTATCAATAGCCATGCACGTTTTGAAAGCCAAATGGTACCAGTTACAGGTACAAGGATTAAGGACCATGATCAACGATGAAATGAGCCATGTTTCGCAAACCATCCGTTAGTCACAAAGGTAAACCTTTCGTATGTGAATGTTTGTTTGTTGTTGATTCTCTGCTCTCGGAATGAGTAATAACGCGCTTTGACCGTCCTGAATGTCGAATGAAGGCAGTGTCAGGCCCGAAAGGGAAAGAATATTGAAATCGGAGTTACACACTCGTAAAGGTCATTAGCGCCCTCCATCATCACTGCGGCATGATCGATGATTTGCGGGTCGTGGTCACATAAAGCACTGATCACTCCTTCAATCCATGAGCAAGGGTGCCAGCCATCTGCGTTGGCACCAGAGCCAGCAGGAGGAACATTCGTATTCGGTATAATTTTTTGCAACAGGCCAATTTTACTCCGCACCACTTTTGCGATGAGGACCATACAAATAAGGGAAGGTTCATCCTCAGGTTTCTTGACATTGCGCTGCTGGACCTGCCAATCCATCACTTGACCGGTTCGCTGGTCAATAAAGGCGTTCCTGACGATGCTGAAAACTGTATATGCGCCACCCTCGACCATCCGCGGCGAATAGTCACCAGGCACCAGGTGTCCATTGCGCGATTGGGGTGGTGGGTGCCAAAGCATGGGTGCCATACTGGATTTTGGAATGACAGCGAGCTCCCAATAAGGTTCCTTCCCCTTGCCAGCATCATAGAGCGCCACAAAAAGACGGTGACGATCCTTCGTTTCGTTTTGCATAGGGCCCGAGTTGAAAAACCGCTGCATGTGAGAGCCTAGTGAAGGATAGTGGGGTTGAGAAGTGAACAACGGATTGCTAACAGAACTCACCTAGCAGTCTGGATGACTAACACATCAAATGGCTTACAGAGGGTGTGTCCAAAGATCTTCAGGCGCGGAATCTGCCCTTGGCTTGGCGGTTATCGGTGACTCCTTTTTTCATGGACCCTTCTTGCAGGAAAACGGAGTGATAAGGGGTATGTATGTGGTAGGGAGAAAAGCTCTCAGCGGTGTTGCGTGGATGCAATCCCTTTGACTGAACACAAAGGCTCGGACCGTTTGCGGCAATAACATCGAAAAAAAACCCCTTTCTTCAACTGACCGGGTGATTCTGCTGTGATAAGCGAAGAATGGTGACAACTATTAGTTTCATGTTGAACTTCAGCCACCGATCAAGGATGGCAAGACATCGTGTGAGATAGCCCGAAGTGTTATAAAGTGGACGCGAATAACAGAATTTCCAATGGGTGTTGATTCATAGAAAGTTCCCACAAGTCACGCGGGCACAGCCGGGAGAAGCCAGCGGCATTGCCACAGTCTCAATTCAGTCAAGCGTTCCGTGTTGTGATTGCCCTGCCAGGAATTTCTGCTCTGCGCCGCGAGTCAGATGGCTGAAGGGTGATTTATTCTACAGCGTCTCAGGGTCCAGCACCGCCTTGCGTCTTGCATTCAATCCACGGAAACTGTCTATATCTGCTTCCAGAAGCCTAGCAACCGTGGACCTGGCCAAGGCAAAGCTTGCCTTTCATGTTCGGATTGTCGGGAAACAGTCCCGACGGACTGGCGGTGTCTGTCGCCAAATTTCCGAGTCGTATTCCTCACATTGGGCGTGTGCCCACCATGGCTCTCTCTCACCCCTGATCATGGACTCCTATGTTTATATCACTAGTGCACTTACTGTCCTCATTTCCGCATTACTTAACGCAATCCTGATAATGGGATGTCCCTCCAAGAGCGCTCCCGCCTCAAGATTAGGCAGGTTATCAGCCTCCATTAATATAGACCTCAAGATTTAATTGCGAGGATGCCTGGGAATCCATGGTATCCAGGACATAGAAGACCAGATTCCACAGCAGGTCACAGTTGTTCTCTGATCCACTGAGGATTCTAATATAGGCTGGTCACCTGTTTATGAGGGAGGCGAGATGAAGACGAAGAAGCTTGGCTCTAAGAAAAACAAGACAAATATTTGGGGTCCACAAGTGCGTCGGTTTCAAAGAGACTCACTCTTGTTACCCCCGAGGATAGCATTGGACGGCTGCGAATCACATGCTATCTGGCCAGGGGTGTTGTGCCTCCAATTGTCTGAATGCGAAACTGACAGTTCTACAGCGAGGCGGTTTTGACATTGTCCTTGCATCTGGACCTTGTTAAGTCCACGAGACCGCGATCAGTTTGTGGGAGTGGGGTGGATCCAGCGGTAGTTGAAATGGTCGCTGACTGAAACCAAGATTTTTGTGGTGTTTGAAAAGATATTGCCTTCCTGTTCGACGGACCAACAGTCTTAGTGTTGAGTGTGTCACGCGATGCACGTGGTAAGGCAGCAGGTTGATTATAGCGAGACGCTGGTGGCGGATCCGAATGGCAGACACTCAAATGAACAAACACATCTCGTCGTGGTATCCCAACCATTGGTTGGCTGAGCAGCCTCCGCAATACCTTAAGTCCACTTCTCCAGACTCAAGACATTAACGTAAAGGTACCCCCGAGCCCTGACACAGGATCTCAGTTGCGCGGAGGACAACTGTGAAACCTCTTGAATTGCGTTGGCTGGATGTTCCTAATCGGTGTTGTTAAGATATGACTATTTTATAGATTCAGCTTGTTTGTCGGGGGAATAGATTAAGCAGCCATCATAAGGATGCGTGACTCGATGCGTCCCCCGGACATATCCTCTGCATTTTGATGGATGTAAGTAGTATATCGCTTCTTGAGTGGGATTGCACAGCTCAATTATGGTAGGAGATTGGAACATATGCATCTCGCAATTCTTTTTCAGCGGCTTCAGTGATTGCGGTTATGATCGGGCTCAAGGTTAGTATGTGGCACCAACTTACCTGGCATGCAGTATCGCCGTGGGTTTCAAGTACATCTGAATTGAGTGCAACCTGCTAACGTGCGAAGAGTCGACGATGCACTGAAAACAGCGTTGGATGAGCAAGACATGCCGACGCGCCGGGATGTGCACCGTACTCATCTTCCGCAGATATTATACCGCTTCATCTTCCTTAGATACTTATATCACCGCGCGGTTACAATGTTATGCGGAAAGATCTTTCACCGCTTGAGTATCCCCGCTGAGTGTCGCACATGAAAAATCGACGGGATACGGAGCTCGGGACGGGATGGGTTATCGCGCTGGCAGGCAGGCAGGAAGAGGTGAGAGGGTATGATATTTCCACCACTTCATTTTACATGTTCCCACGGCCAGGTCGTTAAGCTTACTCACAAATAGTCTCCAATTTCTATTCTTATCTATCGCTGTATTTATGTAAAGGCCACCGCACAAATGGCACACAATGGTTTTGAGTTGTTGGAATAGGTGTCATCGCGTTGGCCTTGCCGTCTAAGCGAGTGCAGTGGAAGGAATGTAACGAAGCAGGATCCGGGTTCAGAGAATTCCCGTTAAAGAGAGGCTGGTCACCTGTCTACCAGAGAGTACTTATCATAAGACGAAATTAAAGCGGAACAAGTAGTGATCTCTACTCGTAGAGATGGTCAAAGACTAGACACCGACATCCTTAGCACTGCGAAGTTGTGGATAAAATTTGAAAGACGACTGGGTCAGTGCAATATAATGCGAATTTTCTTGCCAGTGTGCCCGGGTGCAAGTGCGAACTGCTCAGTGTGCACCCACAAGAGAAATCGGTATTGGCACAGTGGTTCGAACGGAACGCGGCCGGTATCTGCGAATGATCGGCAAGGGAATCAGGTGTGCGGGGCGATATGCGGGCGACGGGCAAGGACGCAAAGAAAGATGAGGGTAATTTAAAAATTTGAATTATTGGACACCGAGAACAAATTGCTAGGGAACGCCCGCGCTATGTGGTAGAGCGGGAGGAAGTCTAATGAATGACAACAGCATGAGAGCAACAGAAGAAATGAGAAAGGATAGCCAAAATATCCCTTGCGGAAGCCAGAAATGAGTCAGAATGTAGGTTGTACCAAATACGGCAGATCCAGCAATGTGGCCCCTGGAAAAGATCAAAATAAAAGCATCACCATAATCAGAACCATAACTACTCGTGGGGATGACACTCACAAAGACCTCATGACTGCAAATGCACCAAAGAGCTTCCCAGCATCAGCACTGCCCCTTGGCATAAGCGACAACGCCAAACTCAGATGGACAGGTTTAAATCCGACGCCGAGCGACGAAAGGAGCGTTGCAACACTGAATGTCCGAGGTCCGGGGGCGAAACTTGTCAAAAAGGCAGAGATCATATCCACGATCAGTGATCCCTTAGCGATACGAAGATCGAACGCAGCGTTATAAGTTGCATGACGCGAGTTGAGACGCGAGTTACGTGGGGGGGCAGGAGAGACGCCACCGGATGAATGGATGAGCGGTTCCCGTTCCATGTTGCTACTCGCCGCGTTGGTGTGGTTCCGATCGTCTGGTGCAACATCTTGGACATGCAAGTCAGCATGTCTTGGACCAAAAATCTTGGTTATCACTAAGGAGAATGGAGTCAATTATGAGCAGCAACGAACGATTAGCCGATCACTCACGCGGCAGTAAAACAACGAGATGAAAAGACTGGACGACTTGAACAGCAGCTACCCAATACCCAATCTTGACAAACCAACATCAATGTCAAAGATCCTGGAAGCGTACGTCTGGGGATATAACTCACCTCTTCAGAGGTCCAATCAAATAGCGCGGCAGTATACTGGAACTCGAATTGCGGAGCGCCCTAAAAGTGGACCGTCAGGCCACTAAGACCCCATCGCCACGAGCAGACAGTCAATACCACTCACAACAAGCAATGTCACAAATACAGAAGCGCCAGCAATGCACAGTAAATTCCAATCCCTCTTCCGATAACTCCCACTCTGTTCTCTATGAACAGGAGCAAACACCATCAAAGGCTCTAGAAACCCCCCCAAAGCCCTCGCAACCCTCCTTATTCGCACGCTAGTCCGACGTGAGCTTCTAGCTATCTCCCTACTCGCATCATTTCTTGCCCTTCTCTTCTCTGCGGTGATAGCCATTTGACGCTTAGAGAGTGATTCGGGAATTAGGAAGCACATAATCAGAAGGTAGACAACGTGGCCTGCCGTAGCAACGTAGAACGGCGTAAGAAGGTCTCCTGTTCGTGAAATAAGGAGACCCCCGACTTGAAGCAGAGACACCCATGGAGGGAAGTGAATGAGATGCAACATTGGAGGCGAATGGGGCCGCGAGCTTACGAGCTGGACCGACTGACATCCCTACATGTCCAATGCCCACGTAGAGAGAGAACATACGGGACCTGCAATCGAGCTCATAGAGTTGATTACCTGAACATGCACAACGAAGATTTACCTGGCTGTCGGGTCGGCGCAATCACTGACATAGGCATGCGCTGCTGCCGACCTCGTCATGGCCCCTATGAAAAAGAGGCATTGAGGGATTCGCTAGTTGCTTCATTACTTTATCTCCCTTGAACACTTACCCCCAACCAGCCCTGCGCAAAAGGAGGGAAGATAGTAAGCATCAAGGGAATAACTCAGAATATGTATGGAGGGATTCACCGTCAGCGACGGAGCTCCATACGAATCGATCATAGCCGCCGGCAATCTTGCGAGAATGAAGCGTGACGGCGAAGAAGTTGATGTCTCTGTCCTCACAAGAAAGACAGCCGGTCGTCGTTTGGAGTGAGTAAATGGGAAAGATTACTGACGATAAGACCGATCCCAGAGCAACAAATCTGAGAACCCATGTGCGTCCCTTGCTATCTGACAGCTACAAGAGTGGGTAAAAAATAATGGAAAATAAAGCCAGGGGGAGGATCCTCACTTTTGACCAAAATCCAGTCGTCAAAACAGAAAGAAGTCCCAACACCAGAGAGACCATCGTTCCCAGCTCCGCGACACGACGGCCAACTTCCGGATCTGACCGACACTGTGATGTAGGACGCGGAATTTTGGCTTCATACTGAGGGGGCATTCCCCCATCGCCAAAGAAAACAGTAAAACTCGATTCTGGACGCTGCCACGGAGCGGAAGTATGACCGGGAGAAATAGGTCTATTACTGTTGTCAATGGGCAGAGCGGTGAGCGGGGAAGCAATTCCTCTGTACTCTTCGCACGCGAGGAGGATAAAGATCTCTGTTTTCGCGGCAACGGTCATTGACGTTACGCAAGTCACAAAACCAGACATGAGGAGTATCCACCATGGTGAAGGTCGTTTGTACCATGGCCGTTCATCCTCAAGCTCAGAAATTACGGTCGAGCCATCACCGTCTTCGTCGTCGTGATCATCATTGTCAACAATATTCCGTGGCCGACCTGAGGCTCTGAATCTATCTTGTTTTACGATTTTGGTGTGAGCTGGCAAATGCTTGTGATCGGTGCTGATCGGGATTTCTTGGGCCGATGGGACATCATCAAACGAAAGGGCGTTCGAACGATCGTGAGAGCGTGCGCCGCTGTTCGCATGCGATAGGTTCAGAGTGTCATTGCGCGAAGACATAGCTTATCACCTAAGGGGGTCCAAGGCGTTGTCGCAAGGACATTTATAGAGTACTCTGATGGGGATTGTATATTGTAATGTAGTCGCAAGGGTTCGGAACGGAAGTTGTAGTCAAGAAATTTCTCTAGCAATGTGTCCTCCATGTGCACTGAATTGATGGGATCGCCAGCCGTGCGGCACTTTCCGAAATCCCCCATCCAACGGCGGGCACGTGATTAATATTGCGAGTTAAAATTTAACCTTAATATTCGCGTTTCCGACAAAACATTTGCTTAGGCGGGTGACCAGCCTCTTAATGTTTGCTCACTTTCAATCACAGTTTTCTGCCTGCATGCGGCAACGCCAGCACTGGTTTATACCACACTCATCCGCTATGTTAGTTTTCGTAACCATCTCAATATTCGAACCAATTCAAATCACCGAACCGCTTCATAAATTGGGTGATGACCTGACTCCGTCTGCATGCCATTTCAGTGAGGAAATGTATTATTTTGTACGCTGTCAATCATATAATATATATAGTGGACCTCAACAGAGTAGAATGGGGATGTCTGAGAAAAAAATAAATGGATTTTTACTTTCATAAGCATCTTACTGTGCTGGTACTAGGATACTGATATGGCTTCGATCTTTTTGTGAAGCAAAGTACCGGTTCGAACCCGAACTGAACCATTGGCCACCCCCTTTTCGAACCGGGTCAGGTTCGCGAAATCCCGCCTCTGAACCGAACCAAACCGAACCACGGTACCTAGTCCGAAGTCATGTGCTGATCACCTCGGCCTCTTTTGACGCTTCTTGCCACCAGAGGGCTTCTCTTGTTTTACGGAGGTTCTGACTTATTGTCCACGCCATTTAACCATTACTGGTCGCCGTTAAGGGAGAAATAAAGCTAAGTATATCCTCACCGGCATACACTCTAGTTGTAGCCTCAGTCATCAAGGGATACGGAAAGTCCTAACAGCTCAGAGAAGACTCGGGCGAAAGGGAGTGTGAAGTCGAGCTAGAGCGCGATATCAAGCATTCTTTGGGTAAAGGTGTAATGTACAGTCCTAGAGCGCGATGTCGAGCATCGCACTCGGATAATCCTTGCCCTACTTGTGGTCTATCCAAGTGGATAGCAAAGATAACAACAAAGGAAAGTGTGAACGTAAAACTAGCGCCTCTGACGCTTTGCCTGAGGCCGCGCCCCCCTTTGTCCTTGTGTGGTGTCGGGCTGCCGCAACAACAGAAAGGGCGCATATGTGTGACATTAACATGGTGGTGTTTTGCAGCGAGATAAACCAGGCTACTTTTGTTATGAGGGTTCCCCATGGCCGAGCTTTTGCCCATGTCGCACGGGGTGGCCACTTCTCACAGGGTGACCATTTCTCAGGGGGGTACGTTTGACCAAAATCCAGTGGTCAAGAACAGAAAAAATTCTCGACACCAGAGTGATCATCCTTCCCAGTTTTGTGACGTGACGACCAACTCCCGGATCTGCGCGACACTGCGATGTAGGATGGAGAACTCCAGCCTCATAACTACATGTTGAATGCTGTCACAGTATCTATTTTTTTGGAGTGATTGTCATTAACGTTAAGCAGGTCACAAAACCAGTGATGGAGTGTACACCATGGCGAGGGCCATGGTCGTTCATCTCCATCGTCAGAAGTTATAGACGAGTCATCACCGTCTTTGTCATTATCACCGTTGATGACAGTTCTTGTTTTACGACTTTGGGAGCTAGTGTATGCGTGTTATTAACGCTGATAGGAGCCCTGTAGTTCGGAATTTCTTGAGACGATAAGAAAAATATCAAAGGGAGGGCATCCTTGCTCGAAGACATGCATAAGCTTAGCATCTAAGGAAGGATATATAGAGCGTGATGGACCACGTATATTTAGACAGTACCCATTTGAAATGTTTGCAAGTTCGTCCTCGAAGGGCGCAATTAACTATCCCGGATATTGCTTGACCATGTCAGTGTCAGAACTGGACACCTCGGTCCATCTCCTTCGACCCAGTTCTCGCTCGTTCGATTTGTCGCCTGGCGCCACACATCCTCTCTTACTGTTTTGCTGAGTTTCCGCGCTGTTGCATAGTATCGGTTACATTCCGTCACCCGCACAGTTTCAGAGCGGTTGGTAACCGTTAACGCTCCGGTAATGAGGCTGTACCCTCGGCGGCATGTACACTCTAGCTTCAGTCATGAAGAAATACGGAAAGGGCGATTCAGACAGTCATATATATTGCAGCAAGGCAATGGACCAAATCCTCAAGGAATGCCCCTGGTGTGCGGCAGAGCGGGTGGAAGTCTAATGAACGAGAACAGTGCGAGAGCAGCAGAGGAAATGAGAAAAGATAGCCAAAATATCCCTTGAGGAAGCCAGACGTTGGTCAGGATGTAGGTTGCACCATATACGGCAGGTCCAGCAATGTGTACCCTATAGGAATAGAATAAAAACATGACCATTATCAGAGACATAACTATTGAGGCGACGGAGAACACTCACAACGAATGGATAACTGAAAATGCACCGAAGAGCTTCCCAGCATCAGCACTCCCTCTTGGCATAAGCGACAACGCCAAACTCTGATACCCAGGTGCAAATCCGGCACTGAACGATGAAAGGATCGTTGCAACACAGAACATTCTAGGTCCGAAGGACAAACTCGTCAAAAAGGAGGTGATCACCTCTACCATCAGTGATCCCTTAGCGATGCGAAGGTCGAACAGGGCGTTATGGGTTGTGTACCGTGAGCTGACACCTGAGTTATATAAGGGGTCAGGAGAGTCGCTACGAGATGAGTGGATGTGTGGTGGTTGTTCGGGGCTGCCACTCGTGGTGGATTGGTTCTGATCGCCTGATGCGACATCTTGGGCACGAAGGTCAGCATTCCTCGGACCAAAAATTTTGGTTATTACTAGGGGAATATAATTGTAGTTTTGGAGGAGTAAAAGCAAAGTTTGATTATTAGCGGGAACGAATGGTCTCATCCATTCACTCACACGGCAGTAATATGACGAGATGAAAAAACCGGACGACTTCAACAGCACTCACCCAATATCCAATCTTGACAAACCAATATCAATATCAAAAATCCTGAAAGTATGCAAGACGGTATAACCTACCTCCTCAGAGGTCCAATCAAATAAAGCGGCAGTATACTGGAACTTGTACTGTGGAGAGCCCTAAAGCGAACCATCAGGCCGCTGAGGGCCCATCGTCACGATCAGATAGTCAATGTCACTCACAACAAGCAATGCCACAAACGCAGAAGCACCAGCAATGTACAGTAAATTCCAATCCCTCTTCCGAACGCTCCCACTCTGCTCCCTATTAACAGGAGCAAACACCATCAAAGGCTCCAGAAACCCCCCCAAAGCTCTCGCAACCCTCCCTACTCGCAACCCAATCCTACGTGAGCTTCTGGTTATCTCCTCCCTGCTCAAATCATCTTCTGCCTTTCTCCTCTCTGTGATGATGGTCATTTGACGTTTAGAGAGTGATTCGGGAACCAGGAAGCACACAACAAGAAAGTAGACAACGTGGCCTGCTGTAGCAACGTAGAAAGGCGTAAGAAGGTTACCTGTTCGTGAGATAATGACACCTCCGACTTGAGGCAGAGGCATCATGAAAGGAAGTGAATGAGATGCAACACTAGAAGTGAAGGACTCACGGGCTGGACCGATTGATAGCCCTATAACTGCAATACCCAAGTAGAGAGAAAACACACGAGACCTGGAACCGGGCTCACAATATTTACCTGAACATGGACAAGCGGTTGGACGGGAATTTACCTCGCTGTCGGATGGGTGCAATCACTGACATAGGCATGCGCTGCCGCTGACCTCGTCATGGTCCCTACATAGAAGAAGCGCTGAGGGTTCACTAGATGCTTTGTTACCTAATCGGCATAAGACACTTACCCCCAACCAGTCCTGCGTAAAGGGGGGAAGATAGCAAGCGTCAGGGTGAATAGCCCCGAGTATATATGGAGAGATTCACCATCAGCGATGGAGCTCCATACAAATCGATTATAGCTGCCTGCGACCCTGCGAGAACGGAGCGTGACGGCGATGAAGTTGATGTCTCTGTTAAGACGTGGATTATCATTTTGGGCGAGTGAGGAGGAAAATTTTCTCACGATAAGACCGATCCAAGAGCAACAAATCTAAGAACCCATGTGCGACCTTTGCTATCTAACAACTACGAGAGTGGGTAACTGACAGAAGAAACAAAATGAACGATTCTCACTTTCGACCAAAATCCGGTGGTTAAAACGGAAAGAATTCCCAACACCAGAGCGACCATCGTTCCCAGTTCCGCGACGTCACGGCCAACTTCCGGATCGGCACGACACAGTGATGTAGGACGGGGGACTTTGGCTCCATACTGAGGGTGCAATCCCCCATTGCGAAAGAGAACGTTCAAATCAGATGTTGGATGCTGCCACGGAGCAGAGGTGTAACTAGGTCCAGTACTATTGTCGAAAGGCGCAACTCCAGGTCTGTACTCTTCGCACACGAGGAGAATAAAGACTTCTGTTTTCGCGGCGACGGTCATTGACGTTAAGCAAGTCGCAAAGCCAGATATGAGGAGTATCCACCATGGTGAAGGCCGTTTGTACCATGGTCGTTCATCTTCATCCTCAGAAGTTACGGACGAGCCATTATCGTCTTCTTCGTCATTATCACCGTCGCCGACGATGTTCCGTAGCCGACTTGGGGCTCTGGATCTGTCTTTGGGAGCTAGCAGATGCATGTTATCAGCGCTGGTAGAAGGCTCGCTGTAGATGGGAATCTCTTGGGGCGATGAGACAATATCAAACGGAAGAGCGATTGAATGATCGCGCTGGCGTGGGGAGTCCGCATGCGATAGGCTCACTGCATTGTTGCTCAAAGACATAATGGCTTATCATCTAAGGGGGGAACCAAAGGGTTGTCGCACGAGCATTTATAGAATACTCCGATGAGGAATGTATAGCGCATGCAGTCGCAAGGGTTCAGACGTGAGGCATTTCTCCAGCAATGTGTCCTCCATGTGTGATACGGCACTCTCCAGAATCCCAGGCCTCAGCACAGCCACCAAGCCGCTCCGTCCAGGTACTGCCAACTCGTCTTGATCTATCGCTCACCGTAATGACAAGGAAACAGAGAATGGGCCCTCCAAAAACCTTTTTTTAAATTTCTAGCTCACTGATATTGTGATCGGTAACACAACACCACTCGCTCGAAGTGCTGACAAGCAACCTTCCCATGTTCAGGCGGATCGTGTCGCGCGACGCGTGTCAATGGTCATGTTCCGATCAACCCTCACTTTCGCTCGTTCCTCCCCCTTGCTTTTTTTTTCTTTGTGGGTGCTCAGTCTTGCTAGAGCTTCTCTTGTTTTACGGAATTTCCATCCTGCTGCGCAATATTAATTACTGCTAGCCCTTAACGTAGACACCTTGTAATGGGGCTGCCCCCTCAGGGGCGCGTACATTCCAGCTAAGTTGTATCTCCAGTCGTCGAGGAATATGGAAAGGGCGATATAGGCATATATATATAAGATAAATGACCGGGGTCTACTAAGGAATACTTCTAATAGTGTGTGATGGGGCGGGAGCAAGTCTAACAAATAAGAGTAACACGAAAGCAACAGAGGAAATGAGGAAAGATAACCAGAATATCCCTTGAGGAAGCCAGAAATCAGTGAGAATGTAGGTTGCACCATATACCGCAGGTCCAGCAATTTGCCCTCTGGAGAAGAAAAAGTAAAAGTAAAAAAAAAACAAAACAAAACAAAAAAGTCACCATGATCAGAGACATAACGAGTTACTAAGGTAACGGAGATGAACAACTCACAAAGAGTTGATGACCGCAAAAGCACCAAAGAGCTTCCCAGCATCGGTACCACCGCTCCTCGACATGAGCGACAACGCCAAACTCTGATGAACAGGTGCAAATCCGGCACCGAGCGATGAAAAGAGCGTCGCAACGCTGAACGTCCTAGGTCCAGGGGCCAAACTTGTCAAAAAGGCGGAGATCATCTCTACGATCAGTGATCCCTTTGCGATAAGAAGATCAAACGCAACGTCATAATGAGTTGCATGACGTGAGTCGTTGTTGTTGTTGTTACATGAGGGGGTGGGAGAGACGCTACGGGATGCCGAGTGGATGAGTGGTGTTCGCTCGGTATGGTCCCGACGATAGTCTGGTGCGGTATCTTTGACACGTGAGTCAGCACGCCTTGAACCAAAGAACTTGGTTATTACTGCGGAGGGGGAGGGATAGAGTTGCAGGTTCGGAGGTACAAGCAAAGTTCAAATAGCAGCAACGAATTATCAGCCGATCTCACTCACGCGGCAGTAGAATGACAAGATAAAAGGACCGAAAGATTTCAAGAGCAGTTATCCAGTACCCAATCTTTTGACAAAATTAATATCAATGTGTCCAGAGATGCACGTCGGTATATAACTCACCTCTTCAGGGGACCAGTCAAATAAAGCAGCAGTATACTGTATCTTGAATTGCGAAGCGCCCTAAGAAAGGAAAAGAAAAAAGAAAAGAAAACCAATCATCTTCATGAACAGACAAAGAGTCAGTGCCCACTCACAGCAAGCAGTGACACAAACGCAGAAGCGCCAGCAACACAGGATAAATTCCAATCCAAGTTCTTTCTCAAACCACTCCCCATCTGGTCCCCCCTATCAACGGGAGCAAACACTATCAAGGGGTCCAAGAACCCCAAAGAGGCCCTCGCAACTCTCGTCACTCGCGCCCTGGTTCCAAGTGACGACGACCCTCTGGCTATTTCATCACTACTACTTGTAGCATCTTCGACTGCTTTTCTCCGTTGTGCGGTGGCGCTGATGGCCATTTGACGCTTAGAGAGCGATTCGGGAACTAGGAAGCACATGATAAGAAAGTAGGCGACGTGGCCTGCCGTAGCGGCGTAGAAGGGCGTAAGAAGGTTCCCCGTTCGCGAAGTGATGATACCCCCGACTTGAGGCAAAGGGCAATATGGAGGAAGAGTGAATAAGATGCAACATTGGAGATGAATGGGGGGGGGGGCGCGAACTTACGAGCTGGACCGAGTGACATCCCTACGAATACAATACCCAAGTAGAGAGAAAACATACGGGACCTAGAATCGAGCTCACATAACTGATTACCGGAATACGGGGGGGGGAGAGCTTTACCTTGCTGTCGGATGGGTGCAATCACTGACATACGCATGGGCTGCCGCCGACCTCGTCACGACCCCTATGCGAAAGAAATTCACTAGATGCTTCATTAACTTATCCGCTTTGAAAACGTACCCCCAGCCAGCCCTACATAAGAAAGAGGGGGAAGATAGTAAGCGTCACGGTGAACAGCCTAGAATGCTCATGAAGGGACTTACCATCAAGGATGGAGCTCCATAGGAATAGATCATAGCTGCCGGCAATCCTGCGAGAATGAAGCGTGACTGCAACAAAGTTGATGTCTCTGACCTCACATCGATTATTGGCATGTTGGGAAAGCAGTGAATATACGATGGATTGCTTACGATAAGACTGATCCGAGAACGCCGAATCTAAGAACCCATGTACGTCCTTTGCTATCCGACAACTGCGGGAGTGAGTAAGTGAGAAATGATGGATGGACCAAAGTGAAATATAATTTGGGGAAGGGGGGGGGGGGGGGTGGCGGGATTCTCACTTTCGACCAAAATCCAGTGGTTAACACAGAAAAAATTCCCAACGTCAGAGCGACCATCGTTCCCAGTTCTGCAACGCGACGGCCGACTTCCGGATCTGCCTGACACTGCGACGAAGGACGGGGAATTTTCATTTCATACCAAGGGGATGGCATCCTAGGATCGCCGCCAAAGAAAACATTAAACCCAGTCGCTGAAGGCTGCTGCTGCCGCTGTTGCTGTTGCTGCCACTGCGGAGTGGAGGTACCATGATCGAGAGGTCCATGAGTGCTGTTGTCGATGGGCAGAGCGGCGAGCGGCAAGGCCATTTCCCGATTGTACTCTTCGCACACGAGGAGAATAAATATTTCTGTTTTCGCGGCGAAGGTCATTGACGTTAGGCAAGTTACGAAACCGGATACCAGGAGTATCCACCATGGCGAAGGTCGTTTGTACCATGGGCGTCCGTCTTCATCCTCGGAAGTTATGGACGAGTCATCATCATCTTCTTCTTCATGATCACCGTTGCCGCCACGCAGTCGACTTGGGGCTTCTTGTTTTACAGGAGCTAGCAAGTGCGTATTATCAGCACTGAGAGGAGCCTCGCTGCAGATCCGAATTTCTTGGGGCGATGGGACGACATCAAAGGAAATAGCGGTCGAATGACCACGCCGGTATGGAGAACGTGCGCCCAGGCCACTCGCATCATCTTTGCTCGAAGACATAGCTTATTATCTGAGGGGAAGGGGGGGGAATCCAAAGGGTGTCGCATGGCCATTTATAGAAAATCTGGGGTTATTCTGGTGGGTTGGGGGGGGGTTTGGACAGTCAATCGCATCATGGATTCCAAACGGGGGTGCATGGGTTGAACGAGTCCTCCATGTGCGTTGAATTGATATCCATGGGGATAACCGCGTTTTCTTTGTGGGCGTGCAAACGGCGACCCTTCAATTGTGTTTCAGACACGCGTTTAAAAACTCCCACGCTAGTTCACCTGCACGCATACGGCAGAGCGTCGGGACTCCGCTTACAGTACTACATTTGGCAAGTTCTCGTCCTCGAAGAAATTGAATCGGCGGACTCGACCTACATAACATGTAGGTCATCCACGGGGGCTCTGTTGGCTCGTTCGACTTAGCTTGTCACGTCACCGCACATCTCAGATCATTTTGCTTTCCTCTTGTTTTACCAAGTTCCCGCCCCCGCATTATGTATTGCACAACATCAGTCATGTACCTTCCGTCACCCGCATACTGCATAATCGATTTCAGAGCTACTAACTAGTACAGGGGCTTGACGCCTGGTATTTATGACTCTCTTAAGGAACGCCCTTATTATAAGTACCGTGCGGCGGAGCGAGAGGATGTCTAATAAACGAGAACGACAGAAAGGCAACGAACGAAATGAGAAAAGAAAGCCAAAGTATCCCCTGAGGAAACCAAGAAACCGTAAGGATATAAGTTGCACCATACATAGCTGGTCCAGCGATTTGTGATCTAGTGTTAAGGAAATCATCCAGTCATCAACCATCAAAATTAAATATTCAAAGCAACAACTTGGCTGGCTTACGATAAAGAATTGATGACCGCAAAAGCACCGAAAAGTTTCCCAGCATCACCACCACCACCACTCCCTCCTCCTCCTCCCCCTGACATGAGCGATAACGCCAAACTCTGAGCAGCCGGTGCATATCCAGCCCCGAACGACGAAAGGAGCGTCGCAACGCTAAACGTCCTAGATTCGAGGGCCAAGCTCGTCAAAAAGTATGCAATCATATCTACCAGGAGCGATCCCTTTGCGATACGAAGATCGAATGCGACGTTATGATGATGATGATGATGATGATGGGCGTGTGAGAAACGTGAAGACACGCCAGGACGAGATGGGTGGATTAAGGGCGTTCGTTCAGTGCCCCTGCTACTAGTAGTTGCATCGGAGGGGGAGTGGTGTGCGTCTAAGTCGTTCCGATCGTCGTTTGGTGCAATGTCTTGATCACGAAGGTCAGCACGCTTTGGACCAAAAATCTTGATTATCACTTTTTTTGTTTTTTTTTTGTTTTTTGGAAGGGAATGAAAAAAAAAATTGGAGGAAAAAAAGTATAAACTTCAACGACAATCACCAACTCTTGATGACTACTCACATGGCAGCACAACGACGAGATGGACGGACCGGGTGACTCCAACAGCAGTCACCCAATATCCAATCTTGGGCACAAAATTAAAAAAAATCAGCCTCATCAACGATCCCAGGCGTAACGGTAAAATTAAAAAAAAAAAAAAAAAACTCACCTCTTCCGAGGTCCAATCAAACAGCGCAGCAGCATACTGGAACTTGAATTGTGAAGCGCCCTAAAAACACCGACCCCAACCGGCCATTGTGAGACAGACCTCCATACGAGCCGAACAACAAGCCCCGTGTGTGTGTGCGTCTTAACTTACGACGAGAGATGACACAAATGCAGAAGCACCAGCGATAAGCGTCAAATTCCAATCCTTCTTCCGACCACTCCCAACTTCCTCCCGCTCTCGATCTCGATCTCTATCGACAGCCTGAGGAGCAAACACCACCAAAGGTTCCAGAAACCCAAACAAAGTACTCTTCACAACTCTCATCACTCGCGCCCTACTACCACTACAACCCTTATGCTCATGCGGGTTTCCTGTCGTTGTCATCATCATTCGCTCCTTGCTCGCTTCGGCTTCAGCTTTCCTCCTCTCCGCGGTGATGACCATTTGACGTTTGGAGAGCGATTCGGGAACGAGGAAGAACATGGTAAGAAAGTAAGCGACGTGGCCTGCTGTAGCGGCATAAAAGGGGGTGAGGAGATCTCCCGTTCGTGAAATGGCGATACCGCCGACTTTTGAAAGAGAGAGAGAGAGAGAGAGAGAGAGAGAGAGAGAGACGAATATAGTATGGTGAATCAAGAGAGTGAGATTATAGCATTAGAAAGGGAGTTAGGAACATTAAGACTTACGAGCTGGACTGACCGCCATCCCCACGTAGAGAATGCCCAAATACAGGGAAAACATGCGTGACCTAAAATCGAGTTGATTACGATTTACAGTGACCAAGGGACAAAAGAAGAAGTGTGAGTGAATGAGTGAGTGAGTGAGTGACTTTATTTACCTCGCTGTCGGATGGACACAATCGCTGATATATGCATGCGCCGCTGCCGAACTCGTCACGGCTCCTACGTAAAGAATTGGAGGGGCTTCATCTAACGTCTCAGTGCTTGGAACAGTACTACTTACCCCCAGCCAAACCTTCGCAAAAAAAAAAAAAAAGAGTTAAATATCATGGCGAATGGTTTTAGCAAGTACCTACCATCAACGATGGAGCTCCATAAGAATCGATTATAGCTTCCAGGAATCTGACGAGAATAAAGCGTGACGGCGATGAAGTTGATGTCTCTATACCCTCAGGCCAAAAAGAAAAAAAAAAAAAAAGAGGAACGGCCAATCAGCATTTTTGCAAGTAAAACACGCGAAAAAGAAAAAAACTTACGATAAGACTGCTCCAAGGACACAAATTTTAAGTACCCAAGTGCGCCCTTTACTATCTGAAAGCTGCGAGAGAATAATGGTTGGGGAAGGGGGGGGAGGAGTTAGTAAGTATAAGAATTGCTTGAAAATGGGGCCAACAACAAGAAGAAGAAGAAAAAAAAAATCCTCTCTGACTTTGGACCAAAAACCTGTGGTTAAAACGGAAAAAAGTCCCAACGTCAAAGTGATCATGGTAGCCAGCGCTGCGACCCGACGGCCGACTTCCGGATCTGCACGACATTGCGATGTAGGACGGGGGACTTTGACGTCATAATATTGAGAGTTTATCCCCCAGTCACCAAATGGGACAAACGTCGATCGGCCAATAAAGACAGGTTCAGTAGTACTACTACTACTATTATTGTCGATGACGAGTGGAGAAGCGATTTCTGGCTTATAGGCTTCGCATACAAGGCGAATGTAGATTTCCGTTTTCGCAGCGACGGTCATGAACATAAAGCACGTCACGAAACCGAATACTGGGAGTATCCACCATGCCGAAGGTCGTTTGTACCATGGTCGTTCATGAAAGGGGACTTCTTCATCCTCAGGAGCCACAAACGAGTTATCATCGTCTTCACTGTCGGCCTTGTCGCCGTTATTATCACCAATGTCAGCGCTGTTAGGAGGAGCTTTGCTAGAGATCGAGATTTCTGCGGGCAGTGGGACGATATCGATTGAACGAGCGGCAGAGACAGAGCGGTCGCGTTGGTGTGGAGAATGTTCGCCGCTGTTAGGATGTGATGGACTCAGTAGAATTGGATGATTGCTGGAAGCCATAGCTTGTCGTCGGTTGACAAGAAACACGAAGGGTGTTGTTACAAGAGTGTGTATGAAGGCCTCTGAGGCTACTGAGATAAGGAGAGTGATGGCGCATACATTCGCATAGATTCAGAATGGAAGTGATGGACAAGTGAATTTGCAACGATAGGCGTGTGTGTAGCAGGTCTTTCAATGAATTCGAGGCCGGCACTTTCCAGACAACCTACCGCATGGCAGAAATGGCTCAGACTTTGCTTGCGGCTGAGGTTCTTCTTTTTCGCCTCTCTGCATCCGATTTAACGCTTCAACGCCTTGTGGATTATGATGACAGCGCCCTTTTTTTCTTTTTCTTTTTCTTTTACAGCAAAAAAAACGGCGGCTTGGATGTCGATCATGTAGTTGTCCAAAAATGAGAGGAAGTTGTGTAGAGGCCAAAATTGGAAGTCAATATATATAACTATTTTAGCGCTGCAACTACTTTGACTAAATGTGGCTATAGTGCATGACTGTTAATTGTGCGGCGCTTCAATTTCACGAGGCGATTGCACAACCGAGCATATGGATCGGTTACCTCATCATGGTATTGCACATGAAGGCAGCTTTGGAAGAACAGTACTCTCAGCGAGTTAAGGCCAGCCTCAGATTCGTCCGTTCAGCAGAGAGAGGGTCCTGTCAATGATAGACCAACTTCACCTTGCGGAGAAGTGAGCACACGCTCTTCCGCCGGTACATAAAGGAGATAAACACGAGGACAAATCGAGACTCCCAAACACGATCGAATTTGCAGAGGTCATGCATGTTGATGACAAACGTGGATATGGAGTCGACAGAAATCCTCGCTGGCGCGCGCTGGGGAATAATATGAACGGTTGGAAAAGCAGGACAAGTCTTCAATCAGATCAAACGTTGGAACATGAAATGTTTGAGGAACCTTACTATATAAGATTACGAGGGGATGGAGTCCTGCCTAACTGAGAGATTAAGGATTAAGCTCGTGTAATAGCGATGTTACAGTAACGTTGCCTGTATATAGAGAAGTGGGAGATATGAGCTGAGCAGGTAACGAATTTCCTAGGATGATGATTTTGTTGTTGCTGTTGTCGTCATCGGCCCTCTGTCGCCGACGGCAGCTAATACAAATGGATTTTTTCATTGTACAGCTGTAAAACAATTAGATTGACCTCTCCTTCTCGCTAAGCAGTGGGGGGAACGCAGCAATGAATCAGTCAGCTTGTATTTATACTCCTGCTGTACAATAGCAATCACATTTCCTCATCCCGTGCTCAGAGACACGACACTCTGATCAATGAGTGACTGTGTTGCATGGACGCAGGCCTTGGTTACGTGTCGACGTGGGCTCGACGCACGGTTTGGGAGAGATTGATTTCACTGGCAACAGTGAGGCGACACAACTGAGGGACATCCATGCAAGGCAGTTGTAGGAACGCGTTGGGAGACTTGCTAGGGCCGCGTCACCATCAATTGAAAAAAAAAAACCCATCCATGCCAACACTTCAGCTTCGCATGAGCGCTGGCCTAACGCACATCACACAATCCCCTCCCCAACAATCACCGAACAGAAGATATTGCATTTGAATGACGAAGAATCCATATTTCCTAACGAAAAAAACACCTTTTTAGAGGAGGGAAATGTATGAGGGCCCAACATCAACGCGATCGTATCACAATCAGAACGATAGCACATTCACACGTCGACATTATGTAAAAAAAAACTGGACGATCCACATAAAAGAATACTCTCCGCGGCGTGAATCTCTGCAAGTCGGTAATGTACTTATGGAAAAGTGGGGCCAACTTGTAGGAACTGTTTGTCGCGTCTGATTGAAAGAAGAAAAAAAAAAACCGGACTTTAGCGGTTTTTATATGTGCCTAACGGCTGCTGACATAAGCTTCGGCCGTGCGATTCGAACGGTCACTTCAGAGACAGTGGGGATGTCGGGCATGTGTTATCAAACAATTCTTATAATGGTAATCAAATTCCAACTCGAAAAGAACCTTTCATGGCTTGGGATGATACACGTTATCCACTTCGTACATCTTCGTGTCCGCCTTGGGATCGATAGCTCCAGCAAGTATAGGCACATCGTACATACTTGTAGTGACCGGTATGGGGAAACCCCTATCTCCATCCGATAAAATGATACGATCATTACCCGTGGTAGAAAGAGCCTTCGTAGCTTTCGATTTCAACTGCGCATCTTTACCCCATCCTCCAGCAGCCACTACTTTCTTCTCCAAAGGTGCTGCAACGCCAGGAGTTGCCTTGCTGGCGACTCCAGCAGCCCTGCCATCAGGAATGTTGATAAAGTTGAAGCGCCCCTCCCCATTTCCGTCCGTCGACGTGGTGGTAGAATCGAGAATGTAGTAACCCTTCCGCTCGAATTGGACAATGTCACCTTTCCTTAAAGTCGTCACGTTTGCGTCCGCAAAGGCTTCGACAGCAAACTCAGTCACTGGGGTCACAAAGTCGGCAACATTATCATCCTCCTCAAGTTTCTTCTTCGTGATGAGGTAGTCGTAATCGAGAAGCGTGACATTGACAAGTTGATGCGAGGCGGTCGGCTGTGGTAGCCAAGTGATTTTCTTTTTCGTCTTCTTGAAGTCACCCTCGAGGAACAACTCTGCCTCAATCGAGGTGACCTCGCCCTCTGGCCCAAAGACCTTCTTTCGGATGAAGGCATTTCCCCAGTCCATGAGCGTAACCTGCAATCGAACAACATTTAATGGGGTCAGTCAAGTAAAAGTTGGATCAGAGGAACACTTTACCTCCTCTTGATCCTCAAAGGAAACAGCATCCTCTTGTTCAACAAAAATCTTCGACGAATACACCGTCTTTTTGGTTCCCACATCTGGGTTCTTCTTGTGTTTTGGAACATCTTTCACTTCTTCCGCGGTAGGTCCATTTGTCAACGTGACAGGAACCAGCCTTTCCTTGTGCAGTGACCAGAATCGTGGGGCGATCGGATCAATGATTTTCTTGTTAGTCGTCCATATCTGGTCCCACTCCATTTGCATCTGAGCCTGTGAGGGTCCCTGAGCCAACATGAACGCTCTCAACGCCTCTATCGTTAATCCGCGTCGTCTTATGCCTGGAGAATATGCTCGGTATCGTGAAATATAGGATACAGTTGCATTTCTAACCTCGCACAGTAGGGAAACGGGGGTCGTCCCACCCGTAGACGAGCTTGTTTTCAACAAACCAGTGCAACTTCCGTTTGGAAAGAAGGGTGTAAATGAAGTTGATACGACTGAAGCACAGGATCAGTCTTTTGCTTGGTCCTCATAATAAATGTAAAAAAAAAATTTCACCTGAAATCCCAGACCTCCACTTTGCGGAGACCGAGTGCATCAAGCATCCACTGGTACTGAGGATTCCGATCTCGATATTCGTTCGTGCGAAGAGCATGAGTAACTCCTTCCAGGCTATCAACCAAGGGGCAAGCAAAATCGTACGTCGGATAGACTTTCCACTTGTCCCTAACGAAGGGAACTTCATGTTAGCGATTCTGGAAAAATTTTCCTTAGGGCCTATAAGGACATACCCTGTCCGGTGATGCGGCAAGGGATTGCCCCGGTAAATGACCGGATCTCGGAGAGCCTTGTTTGGGTCGTCCACGCTGATTTTCGCACGTATACACCATCTCTGGCCTTCAGTTGATCCTTTTGTCATCTCAGAAAATCTACTAAGATTATCTTGGACACTGGAATCGCGTCTTTTTGACGCAATGCCATCCATACGCTCTGCTCTCATCTGAAAATCGACTCAGAACAGAGGGAGGGACTATAGTAGGGGCCTTTACCTGTTGCTGCTCGGTGTCATCTGCATATGCATTCCCTAATGTCAAGAGCTTGACACACTGCTCGTATAGATGGGAGAAATAGTCAGAGGTATGTGTAATCTGGTCTCCTTCGATGCCCAGGAGGGCCAAGTCCTCCAATATTGACACCTCAAACTCCGACTGGCCATGCAAGGAACGATCAATCAGTCCAATCCTTCTGAACCCTCCCATAGTCTTCACCATACCTTCTCCTTACTAGGATTCGTGTCGTCGAATCGAACGATCATCTTGCCTTTGTACATTTTCGCAAAGTGCTGGTTCAGGAGAGCAGCTTTAGCGTGTCCGATGTGCAGATAACCAGATGGCTCCGGTGGAAAGCGAGTGACGACGCCTCCTTCGACAGCACCGGGGAGTCCAAGAGCAAATGTAGCAGATTCGGTCGCAGCTTTTTTCTTTGACGATTTTGCCTCATTCAGGGATGTGTAGACTGCCTGGGTAGAGGAGATGCTATCCAGGTGCGTATACCATCGCGAAAGATGGATATGAGAATTCTTTTTCAGGACGCCAATTGCTTGGAGGCTGCCTTTTATGGCGCCCCACACCGCCCAATCAGGTAGCGTAGGAGAGTGACCAGTCAGGTATGTTCTATATGCCAGATGATCATCAACGCCGTCCAGAAGGGTCGCAAGTTCCGTGAATCCAAGTTTTCCCGAGAGTGCTTTGGCGGTTTCAACAAACTTCGAGGACTAAGGCGATTGAACGTTGTGCATCGATTGTAAAGATGACGAAGGATCCATTTTGTATCACAGTTTCAGATGGCTTACCAACGCTAGATGGTCATTCAGACCAGCTCTTAGAGCAATCGCGCCGAGGATTTCAAAGTAGTCCGTCAAGACCGAGCCTAGTGTCGAGTCATTCAAGGATAAACTTTTAGCATCTGTATCGTAGCGTGTCTCGATCGAGATGCCAGGAGCGACCGCAGAAGCATACGATGCTAGAGTTAATGCTCCCCATGGCACTGGGGTTGCAATTGGATTCAGGGTCAGGATGAGTGACATGAGGCAATTCGGAAAAAGAAAATGGATCTCATGATTCGTGACGCTATTCCCCATTTCTGACTCACTTTTAGCTATATATTGGATCGTCCCCACTCTCTACCTCCACCACAGTATCTTCCCCTCTCTTCAGAGCCTGTCTATATCTCAAAGGGACTTACGCCCATGCTGTGAGTAGCCGACTCGTTTTTTCACTGTGTGAAGAGCTCTTTTGAACCCGACCGGTGAACCCACCCTTCCGTAGACTCGATCCATCTAAAAAATACAAACCGTACACACCTATCCACCTTCCTGACCGACAATGGCCTAACGGCCGTATTACAACCCCCCCAATATGGTTATCGACCGATCTTCGTGACGGCAACCAAGCTCTAGTAAACCCAATGACCATCGCCCAGAAAACTCGATTTTTTCGTGAACTCGTGAGAGTTGGTGTCAAGGAAATCGAAGTCGCGTACCCTGCTGCCAGTGATACAGATTTTGGCTTCGTCCGTGGATTGATCGAGAATGGAGAAGTACCGGATGATGTTTGGTTGCAAGTGAGGCGGTTGTTGGACCCGTTTCGGCCGAATATGACGCTGAAAATCCTACAATACAGGTTCTTACCCCTGCTCGAGCCGATCTCATCAAACGTACCATTGACTCTGTAGCGGGTGCGAAAAAGGCCATCATACATATGTATAATGCAACCTCTCCAGTTTGGAGAGAAGTTGTTTTTAGACACAGCAAAGAGCAAACTCTCGCTCTAGCTGTCGAGCACACCAAACTAGTTCGCCAGTTGACCGACGAGGTCTCTAAAACTCATGGGACCAAGTTCAGGTATGAATACAGCCCCGAAACTTTCACCCAAACCGAGCCGGACTTCGCCATTGAAGTTTGCAACGCGGTGCTCGACGCTTGGGGGAGGGCTGATGGTGGGGAGAACCGTATCATCTTCAACTTGCCAGCAACCGTCGAAATTGCTACGCCTAACCATTACGCCGACCAAGTGTGTCTCTCGATCTCTGAGCCTGTGTTGTCGATCTCACGTATGTTTATAGATAGAATACTTCTGTCGTAAAGTTAACCAACGTGAGAACATCGTCATAAGTCTTCATCCACATAACGATCGAGGTGTGTGTGCTCAGTGTTGCTCCCATTTATGTCCAACCAACTGAACTCCGAATACAGGCACTGGTATTGCTGCTGCCGAATTAGCCTTAATGGCTGGAGCAGATAGAATCGAAGGCTGTCTCCTCGGAAACGGGGAGAGGACAGGAAATGTCGACCTTGTCACGCTTGCTTTGAATCTCTATACTCAAGGGATCCACCCAAATCTTGATTTTTCGGATATCTACTCCATTGTGGAAACCGTTACAGATTGTAACGAGATTCCGGTACATCCCAGGCACCCATATGCTGGCGAACTCGTCTTCACAGCATTCTCCGGTTCGCATCAGGATGCGATCAAGAAAGGTTTCGAAAAGCGAGAGAATGCTTTGAAGGCGACAAAACAGGAAACGCTTTGGGACATCCCTTACCTTCCTATTGATCCTGCGGACCTTGGTTGCACCTACGAGGCAGTCATTCGCGTCAACTCTCAGTCGGGCAAGGGCGGCATTGCCTACCTTATCAAACAAGCTTTGCATCTCGACCTGCCTCGTCGCCTCCAGATCGCGTTCTATCAGGTTGTGCAGTCGATTTCAGATAAGACCGCGAAGGAAATGACTGTCGAGGATATCACCAAAGCGTTCAAGGACACCTTCAGTCTTGGATCCAATTATTCACGCCGTCTTGTGCTCAAGTCCTTTGCACTGACTGAACTCAGAGAGTCTAGTCAAGATGATTCTGATTCTGACGAGGCGTCCGAAGGGAGAAGGTTTGAGGGTCAAATAGTAGTGGATGGGGGTGTAAGAGTGATCCGGGGCGAAGGAAATGGTCCTTTGTCTGCTCTCCTTGCGGCGCTGCGGTCACATTTTGACATAGATCTCATTATCCGAGAGTACTCCGAACATGCCATTGGCGAAGGCACTGGCGTCAGGGCTGCTTCGTACGTCGAACTGGTTACTCCGGATATGGACTTGAAGGATAAGGCTCGCGCCGGAACTTGGGGCGTCGGTATTGACCGTGATATCGTAGCCTCAGGTCTTAATGCCGTCCTGGGTGCCGTCAGCAAATTCATTGGTGACCGCCCATTGCCTGATATCTCCCTCTCTGTTGGTATCAACAGTCCGTCAAGCCAGGCCGATATTGCGTCCATCATACTCAACAACCTCGGTTACGACATTCCACGCCGTATGGAAGCTCATTTTTACAATGTTGTTCGTATTGCTGCCAAGTCATCTGGGTGGTCAAAAGTCAGCAGCGAGCAGCTAGCAGAATTATTTGAGAAGACTTACCCCCAAGCTGATGAAAACACGAGGTTCAAACTGAAGAACCACAACCTCACCAAGATTGATGAGACACGTCGACGATTTAGTGGGGCCATCATCTTCGACGGAGTCGAAAAAACGGTTTCCGGTGTTGGAAATGGCCCTCTCTCTGCTATTCTTGATGCGATTCAGCCCCACTTAAACACTCCGACACCGTTGTCTATTCGCGAATTCTCAGAGCATTCGATTGGAGAAGGTTCTGAGGTACGGGCAGCATCGTATGTTGAGCTTACGACGGAGATTGAAGGGAAAAAGGCGGGTGTATGGGGAATCGGTACCGACGTTTCGATAACGTCCAGTGGATGGAAGGCTGTACTTAATGCTGCCGGCGGTTTTACCGCGTTGACGAAGGTAAAATTGGTGAACGGAACATCTTGATTTGAGTGTTTACCTCCTGGTGGAGCGTATAGTACAGCATGTCTACAGAAGATTTAACCCCAAGTATCCAAGCTAGTCCAGACCCACGGTGAATGTTTTGGCGTTCGAGTGCTAAGAATCGATGACTTTCAACGATGTTTCTACTACGGCAAAATGTGGACCATCATCGTTCACTCTTCCAGTAAACGGAACGAGGCCAAAGTCCATCATTGGACCAGGCTTGTCAACGGGTTGCTGATCCGCAGCCGCATTATCCCACGAGTACCGCCCCAATTGTCCAAGCAAGTGCCCCACACGGTATTTCAATGAACTGTTGAGAATCTCGAGGTCCGAACTGGGGGGCTGGCCAAGAAAGTGTTCCTACGGGCTGTGAATCATATGTCGAGAGTGGCATCAAATGTACGCACTGCGTGATCATCCGCCACCATGGCAATGTGATCGTCTCCGGTCGAGTCTCTTAATAACAGCAGAAAACGATAGCGGAGCTTAAGAAAAGGAGAAGGGCAATTTCCTTTCTTGCATTCAGAGCAGCAGGTGTAATTTTTATCATATCTTCGACACAGATCAAATAACGTGGGGTGATTGAGAACCAAGATCACTCACACTTTCAAACATTCTGGGCAATAAGACTGCACAAATTCTAGAAATTGTTGCGGGTACAAGTCGATCACGCTAGCCTTCACCCGAAAGGCACCAAGACCACCCCTCAAAGCCTCCTTAAACGAAGCCTCTTTGGTTTCTCTGACGAATCTCGGGCTCAGCTCCGTTTGGGCGAACGAGTCGTCGAGACAGGGTGAATCACTTCTTGAGAAGCAACTAGAAAGCGTCGAGCCGTTCGGTTCTGTTGGAGCACAATTGGTTTCGGCGGGGCACGGAGCAAATGAAACGCACCTGAGGGATGAGACTCCTCGTGACTTGTGAGGTCGTTCGGAGTACTGTTCACTCCCTTGTAAGCATTTCTTCGCCTGAAATTGCAGATCGTGAGTCATTACAACTAGACTGAAAGGACCGACACACTCTTTGAAAGCAGCAAATCTTTCATTTTCGCACACCCATGGAATTCGGGAGATCTTATCTGACTCCGAGCCAAGGTTGATTTTCCCTTCGAGACAGCCTTGAGGACTGTGCTTGACACGAAGGTTCCGGTGACGATACAACTTTCCTTTTTCAATGATGATTTCGGGCTTTTCGGGCTCTCGATCTGATTTCCATAGAGATACTTTAAGTGCCAAGTCCTCGTGTAGCGGATGATATTTATTAAGAGGATTACGAGTGTAATCAGTGATGTAGATATCCCTGGCTTTGAACCCATATGAGCTGTCGAAGTCTTCAAGCACCTGCCAAAGACGAAGCGGACGTTATAAATTCGGAATTTGACACAGTCAGAATGTGTACCTCGAAGAACAGGTCGCAATAGATATACTTATTGTAGACACTGGAGGCGAGATCTTCAGCTTTGATGTCGGAGATTAGCTGGTGCTTGAGGGGAGGGGCTTGAATTGTAACAGTCTCCTTATCCTCTTTAGCGAACTGGCGCAGCCACCAGTTCCCTAGAGACTTCAGGTGCTCCATTTCATTTGAGTTGGGGATTCGACTTGGGGAATAACGAGAGGCTTCGGTGCATCGCAGCTCTCCAGGGCCACATATGCCAGGGCATGAGGCTGGGGGTGTTTCTGGAAGTAGTTTCTTCGTTTTCGGATCATATACAATCCACTGTAGGTTATGTTTGTATCCTGTGCCAGAGCCTGAGTGCCTCGGGTTCAGCTACAGAAGGTTAAGGCGTCCGGGATGCGCTGTGATAGCAACAAAGATACCTTGACATTGCGGAGAATCACAGCGTGCCCGACCTCAACCGGCGGGACCCAGTGCGAGAATCCATTCTCCACATAGCAGTCAAAAGTGAGTTTTGCCTCCGATGCATCCATTAGCCGGATTTTGTAATGCCAATCTCCTATTCATGTAACGGTGAATTACAGTACATAATTGATGAGGAATTCACTCACTCTGGGGATTCTCGTCTAAAAGAAGTGGTAAATATACGATACCTGAAAAGTGATTGAGTCGCATATCGCCGCGGGAAACAATATCCTCCCATTCGGAAAGATCAAAGTATCGGCTACCCTGGCCAGTGACGTCATTCAGAGAATGCAGGGCGGAGGCTAAAATAACACACCTTCAGTGGCCCAGGTAGCAGGGGAATGGTGGGTGTTTCTTGATTTGGCTCCGCTGCTGCCAGCTGCTCTTCTACTTTCGGGGATCGTTGGAGCGAAGACAGAGCAGTCGCATCCAGCGACGTCGGGAGAATAGTGAGCGGTTCGTGATCCGGCTCCATGATTGCCTGCTCCTCTCCCCCCGTTGGGGACCGTTGGGGCGAGGATAGAGTAGTCACGCTCAGCGGCGTCGTCGTTGGCAGTGGAATGACGCCCTTGCTGCCATCCTCCCTTTGTATGCGCTCTGCCACAAGCTTAGCAGCTAGTTTTTTCTTGTCCCTCTGATGTTTGTTCAGCTTCCTCTTTTTAGGCTTTCTGTCAGCACCACCGGGGGCACTATTTGGTTTGGGGGTGCTGCGTGGAGACCCTTGAAGTTGTGGCTTCTTTATAAAGATATCCCCTTCTTCACTATCCCTCATTGTATGGGGCTCTTGTTGAATGTTTTGCTCCGCGTTAGTCGGGATTCGGGACGGATCAACAGCGAGAGGAACACGCCTGGGGGCTTCTGAGGAAGATGGGGTGGGACTGGGACGCAACGATTTGGGCTCGGGGCATGCAGTTGACGAGCGTCCTGTTGGAACGTCCGTTTGGCCCGCTGAGTAGTCAGGGAAATTTAAATCGGAGGCCACGGAAACGGGCTGGATCAGCATCTCCGGAATCACAACGCCGTTTCCACCGTCCTTCGACGCAGGAGGAATTGGCACAGAAGGGCGCTGATGTGTGCTGGTAGATAGAATGTCAGCATCAAGCGGGGACAGAGCGTCATGGGTGGTAGGTTCATTATGGCTCTTTATTTTAGGCCCAACAACCGTACATCCACCAAGGGTGTAGTCTGACGGATTGTCGGTTCGGTCGGTTCGGGTTGGAGAATCAAGTTCTTAGAGAGGGGCTTGAATAGGTGTGATCCTTATTGGCCTAGTAGAGCACACACCTTGTTCTAGGCGAGTGATATTTATCTCTTCATTCCGGTTCGATGTGAGTCGTAATTCAATAGCGCTATCATATATGAGCCGGAATGCAGGCTCATCCATGTTTGCAGAGTTTCGGCCCCCCTACTGGGCCCAGGAGGGGGCATGCACGCGATATAGCGGGCCCCTAACAGCCGGAGTTCCATATTATAGCGTGAAGCTGCCATCCCAAGACCTTGTCCAGAAGGAAATGTGCCAAGAATACAGACTAAGAAGTGCAATGGACGACTGAATCCAGACACAGGAGAAGCGCAACGAAGTGTAGTTGAAGAATCTTCCTCGATAGTTATTTTCAGGACTTTTGCTTTGACGGTGAGTTCGCGAGTGAGGCAAGGAAACATCGACGGTGTCAAATCCTTTGGGTGGACGAGAGACTTCGCGTCCTGTCCCTTCTTTTGTTTCTTACCATTTCCAGTTTCATCGAGATGGTCTCCCGGACGCGTACGCTTCATCTTGAAACTAGGGACGCGCTCCACACTTGTTAGGTGCTCGTTAGGCGCGTCGGTCGCGCAAGCGCGACGCTGTGTTGTGCCAGCGTTAAATCGTTAATTCAGTTTCCATATAATGCAATCGCGCTCGGCACCTTCCCTTTGTCATTCATGCTGACGATACATTGCTCACACTGACCAATCATTCCCAAAGTCCCCCACGACTCGATGTCGGCGGTCAAAGGCGCCATGAGGATTACAAAGGCAGCCAAAAAGGGCGCTGTATATGTGTGCCAGACGTGTGCGGCACAAGGAATCGACAACCGTTATTCACGTATTGAGTATTTGCATCGTCATCAGCGCACAGTCAGTCGGTTATTGCTTTATTTTGTCCGAACGTTGGAGAGTAACGCGCTCGAGTTGTACAGCATAGTGAAAACAAGCCTTTTGTATGCGAACACTGCGGCAAGCGCTATGCGAGGAGGTATGTTCCGAGTCGTCTGGAGTTGTGGAAATCCGTGCCAATCATCCCTTGCTGTCGCAGTGATGTGCTCTTTCGACACCGAAAGAAATGCGCTGAGACCCCGAAGGAGCAAGATTCAAATAAGAGATCGCAGTTGACAGAGCCACCGCCTCATACCCTACCCAGGAGCCGGGGTGTCAGACCTTATCCTGACCCCTACTTGACTTCACTTGATGCATCTACATCTCGATTAACCAAAAATCTCCCATCGTTATTTTCCACATCCCCATTAGCCTTCGATGGCCAGGACCCTGCTGCTGTCCCCTCTGATTATGGTGAATCGGAGTTGGATCGACTTTTCTCTGAGGCACCAGACTTCTCCTCTCTTCCCGACTTTATCGGATCCGTTAATGGGCCTCATGTTTTGTCGATTTCTGAATACGACGGTGGTAACATCCTGAACCCGACAAGCTTTGACACTGGCCAATCGTACAGTGAGCCACCACTATTTAGTCAGACGATTCAGGATAAGTCAGAATGGCCAGTACGCCCCATGAATACCCTTGAGAGCAATCCATTCAGCACAGAGCCCACTCTAATGCTCGCTGAGAATAATTTGTTTCGAGAGCTCCGAGGTCAGTGCGGAGTCGATTCTTCAAACCCATTCTTGTAAGTTTCAAAGTTGATACCACCACGTTGGCTTGCTCAATTTCCTCCCAATAGCTTTGATGCCACACGCGTAATTTACTGTTACATGATACCGAGATGGAAGATGCCAAATGCCACCAAGATGTCCGCACTCGCGTATCGGACATTTAATACTGTGATGGAGCATCTTAGTGTGGTACATATGCCCACATTCCGCCTTGAAGTATGTATTTCCCTCTTTTTGGGATGACGTTCATTGTTACGGTCGCATTGTAGGACGCGCACAACTGGCTGATTTTTGCCATGTGCACCGCGGCGCCTAGACCAGCATCAGATCTGCGGGAAACAGACCCCACGAACTACGGGGATAGCCCTGTGTTACGGAAGGCTTTGGATGAAATAGATAGCACTCCTGACTGGCCCCAGTCCCAAGACCTTATTCGACGTGATGTGCGTCGTCCCAAAAGTCCATCGGAACCTGACGTTTAGTTTTGGCTTAGAAAACCGACATATTGGTTAAATCTTTCTACCAAACTGCGAGAGGTCGCAAGTTGACTGCGATGGAAAGCCTGCCCCTTATTCATGCTTTATTGCTCTATAATTCATCGTCATTTTTATCTGAGAACCAAACTGACCGACTTGCAGGCGAACTGTATTTGGCAACCATCACCTCCGTACGTAACCGCTGGACACTATTTCATTGGCCTAACACCTAACAACCCCATTTAGGTTGCTCGTCAATCTGGTCTTTTCACTCCAGGATCAGTTTGCACAAATCCAGAGCAGCTTCCTAAAGAAGAATGGCCGTCTCACTGGAAGTTGTGGATTACTCACGAGAGCTGGCGTCGCACTGCGTGGCTAGTGTACACCCTCGACACCCTTGCCCATCTCGAGTCGAATGCAATTGCCCACATTCCCCCACGAGACCTCCGACACATTCCTCTCCCATATCCTGATTCGGCTTGGAATGCTCCTACAGCCGACGGATGGGCGTCTGCGATGTCTGCATTTGGATGGACCAGCAGGACCGTTGATGATGGGATGTATGCTATTTCGGCCTCAGATGGCAGCCCGGAACAATGGAACATATTCCGGAAGAAGATAGGCCCATATGCACGACATATCCTCATATTAACGATTCTTCGTGGGATTGTGGCGTATGGACGAGGGGAACCCGGCGGTGGTTACGTCACGAAGCGGTGGGTGCTTGCGGGACGCAATGGAGACCGTGTCGCTCCCACAGAAAACATTTCGAGGCACAATTACATTATTTCAGCGTATTGGAGAATGCTGAACTTCGTGAGTCCCCTTTTCTTAACCTTATGCTCTGGCCCAACATGCTATTCGTGTACAGTGGCGCCAAGCCTGGGACTTCGACATCACTTGCCAACTCAATCACCGAGGGGTACATTTTATCAATGATGCTCTTCCTCCATATTGGCTCTGCCGCACTATCCTTAGTCATATTGCCTCGCCTCCCCCACCATATGTTCCATCACTACGGCATGAAGAAGATCCTATCATGACTGCTCCGTATCCCCTAGATGATGAGGAAGATGGACCTAACCTTCTGGCAAACACCGATTTGAAGGACATGTTCAATGTTGCTCGTCGCTTTGTGTCGAACAGGGAAGGGACGGTCATGTCTTCCCCGTCTGGATCACCATATGCGTCTTCTACGCCCTCACCATCTGGGGTGACCGAAGCTTCATCAGTGCCATCTCCCGAGGTACAGTTGTCGGGTTCTCGAAGCCCAGGCTTATCACCCAAAGTCCCTCCCGCCCCTTTGAACAGCCTCCCCTATCTACCTCACCCTTTCACTGCCTACGCATTTTGAGATTCCCTTGTAAACCATCCCATTCAACTCGTGCTTCCTTTCTGTGTCGTCTTTTCCCAAGATTTATTCCAGCTGTCGGGTGTTCTGCTTCAATTTATTGCTGATCAATTGTATTACTGTTTTTCTGTATCTCGATACTTGTCTATACAATCAAGTGGCTCCATGCGAGTTCTTGCATTTGACGGTGAGAACCTCGCCTGTTACTCCACGGTCTCGCAGTCACGTCGTCGCTGTTGTCCCGGTGCATGCACCGTGTCACGCATGACGTAGTGTTCGGTTGGGTAGTGTCGGATTTGTAAGGTCGGGGTGCTGCGCTGGGTGTGCTGCTTGCGGGTGCACGGCTCAACATGCTACCCCTGCGAGGCGCCTAGCCCCAAGGCGTGCGACAGCACGCAAACCAGGAGCAATGTTCTCGTATTTTGGTGCCAGCAAAAGGGTGTCAATCATATTGAGCAGATGTGTCCACATTGTCTGTTTTCGACCCAAAATAAGGCGAAACGCTGAAAGTGCCAACCTAAATCTCTGTGAGTGCTAGTTGAGGCAGTAAGGTACCAAGCTTGCCATGTCCATGCACATTGCCCTACACCACATTTCGAATGATTAGTGCGACCAACATGAGAACGAAGCCTCTCCCGATGAGCTTTCCATGATACCTTGATGGAATGCGTTATAGTACCTGTGTTGCACGTCAGCGCTCTGAAATTTCTGACGTTATCAGGCCCCCACAGACATAGGATAAATTTGCTATGGCGGGCAATGTCACAGTCCCACTGCTTGACATAATAGTGAGTCTTCGCCGCTGTGAGACAAAAGCTTTGAAAAATATTAAGTTGGACGACCCTCAGCGAGTTGAAGCATGTGTCCGTGAAGATAGGATGAATTGCCTGTCTGCACATTCTTTAGGACAGCATTAGTTCGATGTTTTTCGGGCCTCACCGCAACCCACCTGAGCATTCTGGACTGAAATTCGGAACCGGCTTTTCTTCCCCTCGCGATTGAAAGTGTGTCAGCAATGTCTGAGGAGCATCACATTAGAAGTACCCTAAGTCTAGAGAGGGATATGCTTACGATAGTCACCATATTTACTGTAATCAATGGTGACATTGAGAGATGTGCTGTTGATGAGGAGACCACACCATGGGAAGTCTGGGCCGTAATGCTGCAGTATGATGTTTCGCACAACAGATGTGTGACTCACCTGTGTTCTGAGGCAAAACCTTAGCTGAGTCAACTTCAGGATGAAAGTTTGTCACAGTCTTCTCAACGCTAATGAAGCAGCCATACTCCGGGTGGCCTGCGATTTCGTCGTAGATAAATATGTGCGGGCACCACAACAATATCGCCTACCACTGTTCATGACTCTCAGAAATTGGTTGGCTTTCCGTTCTTCTGTGGTAATAAGGATGTAATCATCCACCCAACGCAAAAGCAGCTAATCCACAATGCGTTAGAAAGGAATCTTGAGCCGGAAAAGGTTGAAGATACCGTTTCGGAATCTTCATTAAAACTAAGATCAGGGTGCTTCCTCTCAAGATCCCCATAAAAAAAGGAGCACAGAATACTGGAGAGGATCGAGCCTTGGGGGATCCCCACTTTTTGTTGAAAGAACCCCTGTTTAAGCTGAGCTGTTATCAGTCTTAAACCTATGCGACAACAAATGGCTCGACAAACCCTGACAACATGGTCTTTTATGTGTTCCCTAAGCAATTTCAATATATCCTTTGCATTCCTCTCATCGTATTGAGCCTTTGAAGCTGGTCAAAGATATGTACCCAGGCTGTGAACATCAGCTCTTACTTACCTCATCAACGAAAATAGTGTGCCGCAAAGCAGACGCCATCTTAGTTGCAGCATGAACGAAGTGGAATTCTTCATCTGAAGGGAAAATCAATTGGTGGGTGATATGGTATTTGCCATGAACTCACCGTCTGCTACTACCGTCTGGACACGAGTAGTCTTAACTTTCCCGTAGTAATGAGTGACCTGCTGAAACTTGTTGATCCTGTACAATTTCTAAGAAAATACTTTGCATCAACCCGGAAGTCCTTTCGAGTATAGCGCCTACATTTGACAAGATCAAATCGAGAATGCTGAGGAGCTTATCCTGGTCGATTGAGTCAAAACATGCCTGGACATCAACCTTCACAAAGTAAAGTCTAGGCCTGGTCCGCCCAGGATATTTCGCACTTAGTCAATAACATTGGGTCCTCTGAACTAGACGCACATTGATGCATAACTTTGTTTCAGCTTTGCCCGAAAGCCTTTGAGCTTAGTATATAATTCTGAATGCCCGAAGACGGCGGCTCCAGTAAGACTAGGAGTTTTATTCTGACAGCCGGTGAGCGCACTGAGGCGGGGAGAATCATGAGCAATACCTTCTCATAAGTTAGAATTTGAAATGCTGCTCTCAGAATCTCGTTGATAGAGCTTCCCATAGTGCGTTTTCCGAGATTGACAATAGGACGAATCCCCGTCTCTTTTGGCAACATCCTGATAGTGGCCAGAGGCAAGGATTTCTGACGAAATTTATGTTGCATATCGGTCTGCTAGAACAATGAAGATCCGGACGTTGGCTACGGTTGTAAATGGCTGACCCGTGTCCCATGGATCTCTTCGAACCGATTAGACATCAGATCGCGAACAAGAGGTTGGCACAAACGATCCCAGTCATCGTGACGGAAGTACAGAATTCGATTCTTGAATGCACCCGAGTCTGTAACGTAGAAGGTCCCCTGGGGTTGAAAATCTTTTAGCAAGACACGGGAAGTGTGCCATCTAAACCTCACCTTCAATAATGACAACACAAAACTTTCGTAGAACCAGTACATGAAGTCTTCCAACAGTTCGCGTCGCTTGAGAGCATCTGAAACAGAAAGCCTCTGATCACTTGCAGCAGCTCGTGACGGCCCACCAAGCCAAGAATCACACTCGGATGTGCGGAAATCTTGTACTACATGATGAAGCGTGAATTTTTCGTGCTTTCGCAAGCGGATTATCCGGTAAATATCTAATACAACGAAAAGTCAGTACTTTAGGATAGTACATATTAGCAGTCTTACATGTCACTACAAGTTTGAAGTTAAACTTGCAACCCCAAAAGGTGTTCGGTATCACAGCCCGAACAACCTCGACGACATATCTCAGTACCTAAGCAATCCCAACTATCAAGGACATGTCAGCTAACTGCCGACTCTGCACTAGCCTCAAAATAGTTGCAAGCATATTGCGGAAATCTGGGCTTCAGCTTCAATGGCTTCCGGCCGTGGAGGACGATGAGACTGGGATGTGATACGTCCAGAGAACTGAGGGACAACGGCTGCGATATCACCTCGGAGACAATTTGGAGTACACTTCCCTGAGCGGTGGCATCGTTACAGGGATCAAGTGATTGGTCGCGTTTGGTCTATGAAGGTTCCTTAGGATTCGGCTCCTGCTTCCGCCGAGTCCAATGATACTGACCTTTGATGGGCATACTTTACTCAGAATGCGTGTGTACGAACATTGACTGTGCCGCCGCAAGAGAACCACGGCCAGAGGAAGCACTACTTTCAAACGGTGGGGAGTAGCGCGTTTGCCTGCTTGCTATATTGGATGGATTTCCGAATTGCCCAAACGGAAGTGCCCACCTCTTTTCCCTGACCAAGTTTTTATATTTATTTCTTTCATTCTCCAGGTGGGTGCGTCTCGCACAGTGTTGACACTGAATACACTCCTCAGACCGTATTGACGCGGGAAGATGTGCATCAATAAGTGCCGCCCATGCCGTTCCAAATTGAGCTCATCGTCGGATTTGATTGGATTCCTTGGTCGCGCAGCTTGCGCCGGAGGTGTCTCGAGGCTGTCGCGTTTGAACATTTGCCTTTGTTCGTCGAATGAACTCAACACGTCTATCGGGGAGAAACCAGCCCATCAAGACAGTCGACCAAGTGCATTACAAGGCTCACGTTTGGATGGAAAACCAAATTTTATACCGAACCCACTGGTTCGAGTGGGTTGCGAATAGAAAATTATGTATCGCTGGATGGGGATATCCATCGCACTACGCCGTGTGTATCGAACCTTTGCCTCCCTTCGCATTGTCCACGAGCCTTGTTTACTTGTTCTTACATCCGATTTTTCTGGTACATTTGTTTTTCTCTTTTTGACAGGAGGCAACGCATCGGCCGCGGATAGCTCTACTGTGAGCTTCCTCTTCCGTTGCCGCTGGTCATAGTCGGACTGGGCAGCTAAAAATCTCTTTGCCGATATGACATGCTGCAGGGGCTTTCCGGCCAGCTGGACAAATGAAAGATTCGGCAGAGACAGAAATAGGCTTGTCGATTTGAGCAAGTACGTCATTGCTTGCTCACCAATTCTTAAGGCAAAGATAAGTGCGGAAGCTGTTATCGCTCATGCTAAGTCACACCTTTCGTGCAACGCTTGCCATGATGCAGAACATAATGCTTTGAGCGTAGTGTTTGGGAACTTTTGCTGGAAACCGAGTTCGAGCGTCTGATGCAGAAGAATGAATCAAGAACCATAGAAAGAATAAGTACATTTCCTACTCCGCAGATCCCTAGTGTCAAGACATTCGTGCGCCTTTCGTTACCCGAAACGCACAAAAATTCCTGAACGTTGCTCAATGTCTGCAACGTAGGATGTAAGACACAGGACGAATCGAATGCCTATAACTAACCCGTCTCATAGGTGTGTTGTGTGGAAATGGCGTAAATTTCAGCTCAGGGCGAAGTGTCCCCTCGAATGCCACAAAAATGGAGCTCAGCATCTCGACGTATTGGCTAGGGTCCCCATCCCGAGTAAGCACGTCTAAGTCGACCAAATTTGAAAGGAACACTCCGAGAGGTAATATCGAAGAATAATTTTGTTGAAGCACTAGGTTAGACGCGTCGCTCATGAGATGGCAGTTGAATCTCTTGGACACGACGGACACAATTTCGGCCAACTCCGCCACAACACAAAACGCGAGACAACGCACTTAATCATTTACAGATCAAAGTCACTTGGTCAAAAAGCGCTGGACCAGCATTCAACGAACAGTGATATCGTGCTCAGAAGCTCGTCAGACCACTGATAACACCACGTCCTCACCATTTACATCACACACCTCGCTTGTTTTCCGAATGAGCAAATGCCCTCAAAACTATAAGAACATATTTTCGCTTCACTGAACGCTACTGACCTCCCCCCATCATAATAAACCAGAGTCCCCAAGGTGTAAGACTAACGGGCATCTGTCGTGCCGACCTGCTCCTGCCAATTGTTTCAGTTGCCAAAGATGTTGTGAAACCCAAATGTGTCGATTCGACACAGTAATCCAACATTATAATCCATACAATTCAACAGGTAGATGAACGACCAGATTTGCGTCAAGAAGAGGGCACTCGCGATTGCTAATCTTCGGGCGGACCCCACAAAATGCATCGACCACTCGCGTTTCCGCTGACTGCTCGCTCAGCGATGCAGGGATGGGAGGCCGTCACGGCCTGTACAGCCGTCACCCTAAGAAATCACAATTAGTTGGAGTACCACACACTCAGAGACCACATCATCACTTTGAGCGATCCGCGAGCCTCACAATCTCCTCTCCGTTGTACGCAATGACATCCAATGACTGATCCATCGATCCGACCTAGAAAACGTTCGACATCAGTCATTCCGGGGATATTGTATGAACTAACAGTGAAGTGGGATGGTTCATTGGGATTCTGACTCCACTGAGCTTTCAGCACCGTCAACCAACGTCCAGTTTGACAGTTATGTGCTTTTTGGATTGGTCGGGGAAACTTTAATTTCTCTCCCGATGAGAGCCAAGCATCTAGATTCCAAACTTATTCCGCGCCGGTCAGTGAGAAGTGGTGGCTCCAGATATGAATGCGACTAACTTCTCAAATTATCATCATAACACGTTGTCACTATTTTCCTCCCTCGAGGGTCCCAAAAAGCTGAGCTGACACTGTATTTATGCTCAAATTGCCCGAGTATACAGCCCCGACCAGGTTTTGATGAAAGGAAATCTGTGACGGCTTCGTGATCTGCTTCTAGGACGGGAGGCGGTTTCACTTTAAGCGAGCTGGGGCCGTCATCATCACCCTCAACAAGTGCTCCGGTTTCGATTAACATAAGCTTTCGAACGTCCCATATTCTGCCATTAGAGGGGCAAGTTGAGGTCCACAGCACTAGTAGCATTGCTGACGCTTACTTCAGAGAAAGATCGTTGCTCGCGGTGCATATAAAATGACTCCTTCCAGCAGCAGGATTGATGCTGACACAACCAATCTTCAATTTAGCGTTCACTTGTCTTCGTGATCGGCTGCCTTCCCGGAGGTCCAAAAAGCTTAGTCCGCCATCAGCGTCGGAAATCCATATTTCATTCCCACGTGGCGCGATATCAAAGGATGTGAGAAGTGTCGAAGTTGAGGCAAGAGAAAAGAGCTCAGTAGATTGCCCAGATGTAAAGGAGGTCACACGCAGCGTGGAATCATAGGATGTCGTAAAAACCTATGTAACTGAATAAGCCGAGCGATTCCCATCCACATGCGCTTTTAACTCACACTATGTGCATCAGTCGGGCTGAATTTGATGCAAGATATCGAGGTTTTTGGCGATCTTGGCCAATGAGGCTGTAAACGCCAATATCTTCCTCCTTCTCGCGTATCGTCATATTTATCCTCTTCGTTCTCTTCGGATGGCGCCAGCGCATCCCAAATACCAAGCTGGCCATGCTTATCCCCAACAAAAATGAGATCTTTCGTTTTCTCTGGGTGGTAAGCCATGGAATAAATTCTCTCCCTCGAAACCTTGGCTCGCGATCGCACGACCATGCGGCCAAGTCTTTTCCTAAGATCATTGATATCAGGATCGCTGCCCCGTAGCTGAGACTTCTCCGCAATATTGCGAGAGTTCCGTAGTCGTGTTTCGACAGAATGCACGTCATTGCAGGCAGCTTCGAGAGTATCCCTTAATGATGAGATTGATTCCTTTGTATCGTCCTCGTCGCCGACAAGATCATCCAGAGACAGATTTCCATGGCGCGGACGCCTCGCTACGCGTTCGAGCTCTAGCACGGCAAGTCTCTCCTCTTCTTCGCGTTTCCTCTTTGTTTCCAGCTTTTCCTACAAAAAAGACAAGCGACGTTGAGAAATACACGCGCTTGACGCGGTCATTCGAGTAAGTCGCGAGCGTACGACGACACTGACCAGCCATTGTATGGGAGTATCATCCGGGCTTGCGTGCAGATGGGCAAGTCTGGAGGACTGCCTTCGGGGAACAGATGTGTTCTCCTTTTTCGCTTTCTCTACCTTCCGAGGCCGGGCTGGACGAGCCCGATCGATCTTCTCTGAAGTTCTGCTCTTTGCAGACTTAACGGGCAACATCCCCAGGGAATGAGAAGCATCTTTCAGGTCCAGGGACGCCAAGAGTGCTTCATTCTCTGCGATATTCCTTCGGCGAATTTCCTCGCTTTGTCGTGTCACTCAAGCACAGATCGCTAAACGCGTAAGACGCGAACTCACTAGTCAATGTCCTCCTCCATAATGAGAGCTTAGTATCCGCCTGCTTTGAGGGTCGACCACAAAAAGCGCGTAGGAGGCCAGGTGATTGGCCGAGCTTGTGTTTCCAGAGTTCCTTCTTGTGCACACGGTGTATAGAGTAGGGAAAGCCACCATCAATGGGGACAACAAGACAGTCTCACAGAGTTCATGGGGGGAAGTTAGAATTTTTTCGTGGGAAAGCACCGTGGGAAACGCATGGTCCCCGTTGGGACATCAGATCCAAATAGCATCTTCCATTCTCACTACTGTACTGGCATGACCAACAACCGGTCACGCGTCACACAAATGTCCGGCGTCACGCACTTTGAGTAGAATCCAGTGGCTGTGCAAGCTTTCAATTCAAATTTTCCAACTACATCGTTAAAAGCGTGTCTGTCTCGCCTGTTTAAGCCGCTTACCCCATCCCAACTCACCACTACCAACTTCAGACCCAACTGCCACAGTGAATTCTCCAATGGATTCTGCATTGTCAGCATCAACTGAAGGCCACCATTCATGTCGGCAAGGCCGTCAGGCAGGGTTCCGGTGTCGAGATGTTCATAAACCTCCTCCAACATCACCTCCACATCATCCTCTACGGCTTCTGAGAATTGTCCTTCATGTACTACCATAGTAGAGTTAGGATGAATCCCACTGTCACCAGTAGGATGCTTGCATATCGAGAACAGCCTGTAGCAACCAATGAGAAATATAGGGGTGTTGTTGTATGTGATAGTTTCCTCAGCACAAGCTGCAATATGGCTGGCAAGCACAAATCCATCCATAATACCGGGCAGAAAATTTGACATGAGAATTTCCATTTCAAAATTCAAATATTATCAAATTCTCTTGGATATAAGACAGAAAACCCGTTGTCCGAGGGGTTGTGTCACGCAGTTCTGGCCTTGGCCTGTTGGCTGTCATGCATCACTCAAGCTTGCCGGTTGGATGTCCGGTGCCATGCTCCAAACTGGATGATGCGTGACCGGTTGTTGGTCGTACCAGTGCAGTATACTTGTTTCGCAGGTTGGGGATAGTGCATAAATTTGCACTCCTGCCCAATATTTGCGATAAATAAGACTGCAAGGGTCTCTGCTGCCTGTTCCAATTTCATTTTCCCTTCCTGCATTACCACATGAACAAAACTCCATCAGGCTTGACCACATAGATGTGTTGCCAACAAACACTCGCTGATTTCAGGAATTCATCCCTTGTGTCATATCCGTGCATACCCGACCCCGACCCGACTTCCGGACCTCCTCCTTCTCCACTTCCGGAGTCCTACCCTACCGCCGCCCATTCCGATACTCACCTTTGGTCCTGGCAACACACCTCCTCTTACCTCCAATGCCACCCCCACTCCTCCTTCCCTCTCCTCCCCTATCTCCGTCCGCTCCGATACTCACCTCGGACCAAACACTGCCCCTCTCGCCACCCTCCTCCTACTCCTCCGCTCCGCCCCCACAAAACCTCCACCCTTCTGTCATCCTCCTATGCTCCTCCTGTCCGCTCCAATACTCACCTTCGGACCTGACAACTCCCCTTTCCGCCACTCCTTCCCTCTTCCCTTTCTCCTCTCTCTCCCCTCTGGTACTCTCCCACTGACCTCCTGCCAAGTTACGACCTTCCACCGCTGTCCTGTACTTCATACTCAGGCACCGATCATACCTTTGCTCCGAGCCTCCATCATAGTCCCCACCTTGGACTTTGACTCCACCTCGGTCTTAGTCCATTGCATTGGTGACCTCATACTACGTAAACACCATTGCCAATATTCCTTGGACTTTCAACCCCACCTCTGTAAGCTCCGTAAGCTCCGCAACCTCCGAGCTTCGCAGATCACCTTCGGCACTTTCGCCGCTTGTAATGTATCTCTCGCGTTTTCCCCTCATCCCTATTTGGACTGCTGCTTCTTCCCATTCTAGCCAGTTAGTCATCATCCCCACTTCTCACCATCCTCCTGCCCCTCTGGGCCTCGCCCTCCCTACCTCCTTTCGGACGTATCACAGGTTCTGTCTTATGACCTTCGGTACCACTCCACTTCTGTCTACCCTTTGTGTTATGGAAATGGGAATTTCCATTTTAGACTCTTATGGGTTCTGTATCACGTGATTTATATAGTAATATAGTTCATCCAATCAATAATCAACAAAAACCCGCTGCCACACTACCTGTTCAACAACATGTTAAACCATCTGTGAAACAACCTGTAAACCCTTATGTCCAACCCCCTTCCCTATTCCTGTGCCAGAACGGACGAAAATGGGCGCTTCCGGCCCCATTTTTGTAACACTTTGTTCCCGTTCGGACATCTTCGTTCCGATTCGGATCCCCTTTGTTTCCTTGTGCTTTTGCCCCCTCCATTATATATATCGGCGCTTGTACATACTCGTTTTGGCCTCAGTCCGAAATCGACCTGAAATGCCCCCTAGAGACTTCCTGCTCACCTACTGTGAAATTAAGGACCAAATGGACAAACAGCAATGGCACAGCGCTCTGCTTGAGTCGCTGAGGCCAAGGTCCCTCCATGCTGAGTCTCCGATTCCACTCTGGAGTCATCTGAATCCACCCATTCTAACACCTTGTCCTTGTTGTAAAGTCTGTCAGGAATGTGTCGGATGTGTATCCGGATGATCCACAAGGTGCATGAAGTCGTCTGGGCTCGTAAGGTCAGAGGGGCAGGACTTCAGCTTCAGCGACTCGGGTGGAGCACTGCGCTTCATTCTTACGTTGTTGTCCCAATTTCAGACAGAAGCCTTACGATGAGGAGAAGAGACAAGGGGGGTAAATCCAAGTCAATATATGAACTGAGGTACATCCGGTGTAACCTACACACATTATAAGCATAAGTAACTAAATGGACCAGCCTGGAAGGAGTGGCGGATCAAGCGCGATATTAATGAATGAAGAAAGAGACAAATGGTTAATATCGGCAAACTTGGTCAACAAAAAGGCAAGCAAGAAATAATGAGTGGCAAAGGAGGAACAATAGTCTGCAAGCGAACAAAAGAGAAAAGGCCATCTGGCCATCTAGCAAGCCATCCGGCTGGCAGGTGGACAACAAGAACCACTTGAGCGGGCAACCTAGGTTGGAAGGTACGCATGTGGGGGAGGAAGTGTGGATGAGGGTGATGGGTGGACGGATGGATGGACAGATGATGATGATAGTGGGCGGGATGGGCCAAGTGGCACTAGGATGCATTGACAGAAGTGACAGATATGTCAGGTTGTGACAGTATCCCCTTCTTAGGGCTGATGCCCCTGGAGGCCCAATTGGTGCATGTGAGAATTGTTCGGCCAATTCTGAATTTTGAATCCGCATGTGAAATCAACAAATCCTTTCCATCAATTTGACTAAGTCCAGTCATTACCCAACGACTACTACTCAATACCTGCCCTTATGTCTAAACATCTTGAGCTCCACAACATCGCATCCTGGGAGGAAGAGGACATCCAAGAGGCAACGGATGACGAGCCTGCCATGATGCAGGCAAAGCTCAACAAGTGGGTGAGGTGCAAGGCGGTCAAGAAAGCAGCTGAGGCAGCTAGGCGGGTGGCCAAAGAAAAGAAAAGGTGTGAGGAAGAGGAAGCCAGGGAGCGGGAGGCAGAGGCGAAGTGCCAGCAGGTGTGGGCGGCTGGGTCATCCAAAGGCAAGGTGAGTAGCCAGCATCTTTAAACACTTACTGCCACGAGATCCCTGAGGCTAACACATGCAATTTTTTTGTTTTTTGTTTTTTAGCGCAAGGCCTCAGTTGACCCTCCACAGGCTGTAAGGGAGAAGCCCCCCTGTGGTCATTGCATCAAGTCCCAGCTGGTCTGCAAGTGGGGCAAGTACCAGGCATGCACAAACTGCATGCATGCCAGGGCCAAATGCGACCTGGTTACAATTTGAGTGGGGACTGCAACACCCTCGCAGCAGAAGAGGCTGTGGGTGATCTTGCCCAAGGCACCAGCTCACGCGTCTGAGGATGAGGGAGAGGAGATGGAGGATGAGGAGGATGATTGGGACAAGGATGAGGGTGACGTGGAGAAGTGGGGTGAGGCGATCATCGATGCCCTCAGGGAGCTGACTGACACTGTGAGGCAGTTGCCCAGCGAGGTCGCCAAGATTACGTGGGAGGAGAGGTCAAGGAAGAAGAAGGAGAAATCAGATGGTGGGGGAGCAGGTGACCTGCCCACATATACTTCCCATGGTGTGGGCACGTTGCCCTGATTTTCATCATTTTTTTTTGTATATACCTCCATTTGTGCCATACCCTATTAAACACATGGCCAGTTTTGATGTGCACACACTCTAAGAAAAGTGAGG